GTAAGCGTTAATGTACCTGCCCTGAGTAAGTGTCCAATGTGCCTACACTAAGTAAGTGTTAATGTACCTGCCCTGAGTAAGTGTCCAATGTGCCTACACTAAGTAAGTGTTAATGTACTTGCCCTGAGTAAGTGTCTAATGTGCCTACATTAAATAAGTGTTAATGTACCTGCCCTGAGTAAGTGTCCAATGTGCCAACACTAAGTAAGTGTTAATGTACCTGCCCTGAGTAAGTATCCAATGTGCCAACACTAAGTAAGTGTTAATGTTCCTGCCCTGAGTAAGTGTCCAATGTGCCTACACTAAGTAAGTGTTAATGTACTTGCCCTGAGTAAGTGTCTAATGTGCCTACATTAAATAAGTGTTAATGTACCTGCCCTGAGTAAGTGTCCAATGTGCCAACACTAAGTAAGTGTTAATGTACCTGCCCTGAGTAAGTATCCAATGTGCCAACACTAAGTAAGTGTTAATGTTCCTGCCCTGAGTAAGTGTCCAATGTGCCTACACTAAGTAAGTGTTAATGTACCTGCCCTGAGTAAGTGTCTAATGTGCCTACATTAAATAAGTGTTAATGTACCTGCCCTGAGTAAGTGTCCAATGTGCCTACACTAAGTAAGTGTTAATGTACTTGCCCTGAGTAAGTGTCTAATGTGCCTACATTAAATAAGTGTTAATGTACCTGCCCTGAGTAAGTGTCCAATGTGCCAACACTAAGTAAGTGTTAATGTACCTGCCCTGAGTAAGTGTCCAATGTGCCTACACTAAGTAAGTGTTTATGTACCTGCCCTGAGTAAGTGCCAATGTGCCTACACTAAGTAAGTGTTAATGTTCCTGCCCTGAGTAAGTGTCTAATGTGCCTACACTAAGTAATTGTTTATGTACCTGCCCTGAGTAAGTGTCCAATGTGCCAACACTAAGTAAGTGTTAATGTACCTGCCCTGAGTAAGTGTCCAATGTGCCTACACTAAGTAAGTGTTTATGTACCTGCCCTGAGTAAGTGCCAATGTGCCTACACTAAGTAAGTGTTAATGTTCCTGCCCTGAGTAAGTGTCTAATGTGCCTACATTAAATAAGTGTTAATGTACCTGCCCTGAGTAAGTGTCCAATGTGCCAACACTAAGTAAGTGTTAATGTACCTGCCCTGAGTAAGTGTCCAATGTGCCTACACTAAGTAAGTGTTTATGTACCTGCCCTGAGTAAGTGTCAATTTGCCTACACTAAGTAAGTGTTAATGTACTTGCCCTGAGTAAGTGTCCAATGTGCCTACACTAAGTAATTGTTTATGTACCTGCCCTGAGTAAGTGCCAATGTGCCTACACTAAGTAAGTGTTAATGTACTTGCCCTGAGTAAGTGTCTAATGTGCCTACATTAAATAAGTGTTAATGTACCTGCCCTGAGTAAGTGTCCAATGTGCCAACACTAAGTAAGTGTTAATGTACCTGCCCTGAGTAAGTATCCAATGTGCCAACACTAAGTAAGTGTTAATGTTCCTGCCCTGAGTAAGTGTCCAATGTGCCTACACTAAGTAAGTGTTAATGTACCTGCCCTGAGTAAGTGTCTAATGTGCCTACATTAAATAAGTGTTAATGTACCTGCCCTGAGTAAGTGTCCAATGTGCCTACACTAAGTAAGTGTTAATGTACTTGCCCTGAGTAAGTGTCTAATGTGCCTACATTAAATAAGTGTTAATGTACCTGCCCTGAGTAAGTGTCCAATGTGCCTACACTAAGTAAGTGTTAATGTACTTGCCCTGAGTAAGTGTCCAATTTGCTTACACTAAGTAATTGTTAATGTACCTGCCCTGAGTAAGTGTCCAATGTGCCTACACTAAGTAAGTGTTAATGTACCTGCCTTGAGTAAGTGTCCAATGTGCCTACACTAAGTAAGTGTTAATGTACCTGCCCTGAGTAAGTGTCCAATGTGCCAACACTAAGTAAGTGTTAATGTACTTGCCCTGAGTAAGTGTCCAATGTGCCTACACTAAGTAAGTGTTTATGTACCTGCCCTGAGTAAGTGCCAATGTGCCTACACTAAGTAAGTGTTAATGTTCCTGCCCTGAGTAAGTGTCCAATGTGCCTACACTAAGTAGGCGTTAATGTACCTGCCCTGAGTAAGTGTCCAATGTGCCTACACTAAGTAAGTGTTAATGTACCTGCCCTGAGTAAGTGTCAATTTGCCTACACTAAGTAAGTGTTAATTTACCTGCCCTGAGTAAGTGTCCAATGTGCCAACACTAAGTAAGTGTTAATGTACCTGCCCTGAGTAAGTGTCAATTTGCCTACACTAAGTAAGTGTTAATGTACTTGCCCTGAGTAAGTGTCCAATGTGCCAACACTAAGTAAGTGTTAATGTACCTGCCCTGAACAAGTGCCAGTTTGCCTACACTAAGTAAGTGTTAATGTTCCTGCCCTGAGTAAGTGTCTAATGTGCCTACATTAAATAAGTGTTAATGTACCTGCCCTGAGTAAGTGTCCAATGTGCCTACACTAAGTAAGTGTTAATGTACCTGCCCTGAACAAGTGTCAGTTTGCCTACACTAAGTAAGTGTTAATGTTCCTGCCCTGAGTAAGTGTCCAATGTGCCAACACTAAGTAAGTGTTAATGTACCTGCCCTGAGTAAGTGTCAATTTGCCTACACTAAGTAAGTGTTAATGTACTTGCCCTGAGTAAGTGTCCAATGTGCCAACACTAAGTAAGTGTTAATGTACCTGCCCTGAGTAAGTGTCAATTTGCCTACACTAAGTAAGTGTTAATGTACTTGCCCTGAGTAAGTGTCCAATGTGCCAACACTAAGTAAGTGTTAATGTACCTGCCCTGAACAAGTGCCAGTTTGCCTACACTAAGTAAGTGTTAATGTTCCTGCCCTGAGTAAGTGTCTAATGTGCCTACATTAAATAAGTGTTAATGTACCTGCCCTGAGTAAGTGTCCAATGTGCCTACACTAAGTAAGTGTTAATGTACCTGCCCTGAGTAAGTGTCCAATGTGCCTACACTAAGTAAGTGTTAATGTACCTGCCCTGAATAAGTGTCAATATGCTTACACTAAGTAATTGTTAATGTACCTGCCCTGAATAAGGAACTTGATCATTAATTTTGAGTTGATGGTGAATCTTTTGCAAGTATCAACACATCACAGCCTTTTTTTTCGTTTAAACATTTTTTCACTAGTCAGAACACTACCAGGAGTATTAAGGTGTGACATGGTCTTTTCTGTTTATTTTTGGTGTTGGGTACCTGTCTCAGTGACATGGTCTTTTCTGTTTATTTTTGGTGTTGGGTACCTGTCTCAGTGACATGGTCTTTTCTGTTTATTTTTGGTGTTGGGTACGTCTCAGTGACATGGTCTTCTCTGTTTATTTTTGGTGTTGGGTACCTGTCTCAGTGACATGGTTCTCTCTGTTTATTTTTGGTGTTGGGTACCTGTCTCAGTGACATGGTTCTCTCTGTTTATTTTTGGTGTGGGGTACCTGTCTCAGTGACATGGTCTTTTCTGTTTATTTTTGGTGTTGGGTTCCTGTCTCAGTGGCATGCATCCCACATCTCTTTTTTATCAAACAAAAAATAATTAATGCTCACATACAGAAACATTTTGCCAAATAGACCACTCATGATAACATACACATTTAAAACAGATATAGGTCTAGAAATTTTGATAGTATAATAGATATGTTGAAATTAAAATAGCAATACTTTCACATGTAAACTATGTGGTATGGGTTTTGCTCATAGTTGAAGGCCATACAGTGACCTATAATTCTTAACTTCTATGGCATTTTGTCTCTGGGGGAGAGTTGTCTTATTGGCAATCATACCACATTTTCTTATTTTTGTATTATATGAATAACATTTAAAGTTAATGAATCATGAACGAAAGTGCATTCCAAAAAAAAATAAATGGAGAATGTGTCCCCATGGACACAGATGATGCTCCCGCTTGCATACAACATTATAAAGGAACAATACAAGTGATGCTACCCAAATTTGTACTTGATCTGAGTTTTGTGGTAATAAGTATTGTGTAAAGGTTTCATACTGTTTGGTTGGGGCAAACTTAAGTTACAGAACGGAAACTAAAAATTTTGCATTTTTCGATTTATAAAGGGGCATAACTCCATAATGATTAAAGTGACACCACCAAAATTGAACTTGATCTGTGTTTTGTGATAAAAAGCATTGTGTATAAGTTTCACAACATTTGGTTGAGGCAAACTTCAGTTAGAGAACGGAAACTAAACATTTTGCAATTTTTCCATTTATAAAGGGGCATAACTCTAGAACGTTTAAAGTGACACCACTAAAATTCAATATTGATCTGTGTTTTGTGGTAATAAGCATTGTGTATAATTTTCATAACATTTGGTTGAGGCAAACTTAAGTTAGAGAAAGGAAACTAAATTTTTTTTTACTTTTCCATTTATAAAGGGGCATAACTCTAGAACAGTTAGAGTGATGCTACCAAAATTCAAACCTGATCTGTATTTTGTGGTAATAAGCATTGTGTATAAGTTTCATAACATTTAGTTGAGGCAAACTCAAGTTAGAGAACCGAAACCAATTTTGGGACGTACGTACGTACAAGGGTAAAACTTAATGCCCCCTCCGCTACGGCAGGGGCATAAAAAGAACATGGAAATGAGAAATACCAATGCTAATACAAATGTCATTGACTTAACATAGGTGGTTCCCCTAAACTCAAACTTTAAAATGTAAAATGCTATTACAACTGCATGCTAAATATCATTGATCTAACACTAGTGGTTCCTCTTAAACTGACCTAATCACAAATTAATACCTTGTTGATGCGCCTTCCTGAAAATGTACCCCAAAGTCTGGCATTCACAACTTCATGGAAAAAAAAACATAACCAGTATAGCTAAGGATTCCTTTGTCATAATTCTGTTGACTTTTTATTTCTGAAATGTTTGCTTCTTTAGTTTTACCTGACTGGGGTTGAAGTTTTTAAATTTACAAAATTGCCTCATTAAAATAAACTAATACAGCAACTTTAAACAATATTTAATCAACAAGTATATATATATATATAACTATGTAATACAGATAATGAATGATTATTATAGTTTTATCATCACCTCCTAACGACTACAGAATATCATAATGTAATGTCCATAGATTTATGGGTTCACACCACAGAGCTCACTGAAAATAAGAAAAATCTTTTTATTTTAATATTTTACAACTATATCCTTAAGTTTTTGTAAAGTTTGTCTCTATGGTAACTATTTCAACAGACTGAATAGTGATACCAATGTTAAGAAGATAACATATTCTCGTCCAAGAGGTCATTTGTAACTATAGTAGAGTTTTACTAGGTAATGAGATGAGTCAAAATTGGTTTAAAGTCTGCAGAAAAAATAAAAGTTAAAGAGACAAATGTTTAATACAGTACACACAAGGAGATTAAGTCAAAAATCACTTTTGCCGTTTTGGAGTGATTTATGGTGAAACAGGGTGATTGCTGATGATTTGTGGTGATGAAATTTATGACCTTGCCATAAATTTCTATAAAATATGAAAATATTTTAGAGTGATTCTTCATGGATCACCAGCAGTCACTGTAAAAAATCATTTTTGTTGGTGTGGAGTGGTTCACTGTGAAACAAGGTGATTGTTGGTGATTTGGAGTAATACCATTTATGACCCTGTGATATACTTTCTTCTGAATATACAGAGAGGTAACTCAAAGTGAATCACCATGGATCACCAGCATTCACTGTATAAAATCTAGCTGTTCAGAGTGATTCAGGGTGATCCATGGTTTTTTGAGGTGTTTTCATTCTGATTTGTGATCCAGTGTAACACTTTCTATAGAATATGAAGACAAGAATGATTTGTCTCAACCCCTTGTATGTACTGTAGATTATTTTAAGAACAATATCCTCTTGTTAACATTTAAACTTTAGTAAAGATGAATTATAACAGTTCATATTATTTATGCCAAGTTTTACGTGGATAATTTCCGTCAGATTATTTTAAGAAAAAAATATCTTCTAAGATGTGACTTTCTTCTTGTTCCTCTTTAGTACTCTCGTCGTCATACAAGTTTTGGTCACGGACAGATTTACGAGTTAATGAACTACGGACTCCAGGACTGGTTTTCAGTCTTCCTTCCAGACTGGTTATCTTGCTGACAGATTTAGGGTTAGGACTGTGGTAGCTCCCAGACAGAAGAGGACTTGACAGGTCTTCATCAAGGGAGTTAACTATGTCGACTACTGATAATGTCTTGTCTCTGAAAAATATATACGATACAAAACTAGGAATTCCATGGTTATAGTTTGTTGCTGTGTATCATATTTGTTTTTCGTTCATTATTTTGTACATAAATCAGGCCATTAGTTTTCTCTTTTGAATTGTTTTACATTTGTCATTTCGGGGCCTTTTATAGTTGACTATGAGGTAAGGGTTTTACTCATTGTTGAAGGCCGTATGGTGACCTATAGTTGTTAATTTCTGTGTCATTTGGTCTCTTGTGGAGTGTTGTCTCATTAGCAATCATACACATCTTCTTATTTTTATATTCCAACATGTATATACTTTAAACTAGTGTTGTCAAAGGTTCAATGACGAACTCTTGGAAAGACCGAATATTGACTAACCAAAATGTCAACTGATTAATCTGAACTTTTTTTTCCAATTTTAATAGATGTGATAAAATCGTGAATTGAAATCATTAATAATGTTAAATATCAAAACCAATCATGATCAATTTTGGAACAGTTCTAACTTAAGTGTTCAACAAAATATAAAATTTTCATATAATGAAGACATAATCTTTCAATCAGTTTAATTGAGGTCTGGAGCTGTCATGTCAGTAACTGCTAGTAGTAATTTTTTAATGTATTTTGATCATTGTCATTTTGCTAAATTTCTTCTGTTACTCTGTTACTCCTTTTAAACTGAGTTTTACTGTACATATAGTGTTTTTTTTTTCCAAATTGGCTTGCCGTAATGTATAGGGGAAGGGTTGAGATCTCATAAAACATGTTTAACCCTGCCACATTTTTTGCGCCTGTCCCAAGTCAGAAACCTCTGGCCTTTGTTAGTTTTGTATGTTTATTTAATTTTGGTTCATTTATATGTTACAGAGTTTAGTGTGATGTCCATTTTTCCTGAACTAGTATATATTTTTTTAAGTGAACAGCTGAAGCCTGCATCCAGGTGAGGGATTTTCTTGCTGTGTTGATAACCCATTGGTGGCCTTCAGCTGTTTTCTGCTCTTTGGGCGGGTTGTTGTCTCTCTGACATATTCCCCGTTTCCATTCTAAATTTTATTGTATGCCGAAAAAAAACGCAAAATGCAAGCATCCTTGATAATACGTGCTTCCCATAATCTAAATGGTACCCTTGAAAAAAGTGAATCAACAGTACTTCAATAAGCAGTTCTTACCCTGGAACTTTTACAGCAGGTGATAAATTACTTCGTCCTCTATTTGCAGGTAAGGGCAAGTTACCCTGTCTACTAACACCAGGAGACCTGTAAAAAAAGACCAAAATATATTTAGGAGTAAAATGTTTAAGACTTATGAAGTATACTTAGAACATGGGAAAAATCACATCAATTATGTTCTATTTCTTCTGTAACTTTGAAAAGGCCTTTAGTTATTTGTCTGTAAAACAAACTCCAAATCATTTAAAAATACTGCAAACAAGAAAGAGGACATGTTTCCCCTTGCTTAACCCTTTTATTGTATTGAATAAAACATTCAGGAAACCAAAGTTGGACCAAGATGAACAACAATTTGAAATCATAGATTGCTGAAATTGTGATTCTAGGGTCAACAGGGCTGTGCAGTATAACTAACCGAATTAGACTTATCACTGGGTTTGTACATACATGAGCAACACGACAGGTGCCACATGTGGAGCAGGATCTGCTCACCCTCCTGAAGCACCTGAGATCACCCCTGGTTATTGGTTTGGTTTGTGTTGCTCAGTCTTTTGTTTTCTATGTTGTGTTTGTGTACTGTTGTTTATCTGTCGGTCTTTTTCTTTTTCAGTCATTGTGATGTTAGTTTATTTTCGACTTATGAGTTGAATGTCCCTTTGGTATCTTTCACCTCTCTTTTCAACACAACTAATTGAATAGTTCATAACTAAATCATGTTGTAAAAAATACCATTTGTCGATAATATTGGCTATGATAATATTCAATAATGCAAAAAAATAATGTAAATAAACAGCTACGCCAAGAGTGCATATTATTCCCTTATTTTTGCATATTGTAATACATGTAGTTGCAAAAATAAAATCGGATATGTAGAAGTGAAGTAGTCAGAAGCAAATAAAATGGCTCAATAGAAAAACTTGCATGAAGATAGCCTAAGATGTATAAATATTGTTTCAAATATGACTGTGTAAAATGTCCCATAACTCTGGAATGACAAACCAGAAAATTCTAAAAATCAAAAGCATTCACCAATCCCAACAACAGTGGTGAGATTGTAAAACAATTTATCCAACAATACTAAAGATAGTGCATGACATTTAAAAAATTCCTTTTATTTATCTGATGTTCAAAGTCCCATAACTCTGGAATGACTAATTGGATTTTTTTTTTTGGAAAACAGTGCGTTACATTCACCTATTCTAATAAAAAATAAATCCCTGTAACTCAGGAACAACATGGCCAAAAAAAGTTAAAAGCTTTCTTCTGTCAATCCTAATGTGCTAAAATTACCTGAGAATTAGTTACAGCAAATTTAAGTGATCATACTAAGTGTGGACAGACAGACAGACAGACGAATATTGGTATATCATAATACATTCTGTCTTCATCGGGCAGATGTAAAATGGTAATGTTTGGAGATAGATGTCAATCTTTTTCTGATCAATTCTTAAAATAAATGAAAAGAAATGGTGCATACCATCTGTTTAAAAAGGGGGGGGGGGCACAGGGCTTTCTGTCATAAAAACATAAAACTATTCAATATTTTGATTGGTTGATTCTGGAGTCCAGATATGATAAATATACTTAAATATTTTTATGACCACAACCAACCAGGGAGTCATAAAGAGGTTTTTCTGTTCAGTCAAAATCCATGACAGCTTAAGTATACATTTTACATGATTGTTGATGATTACCTTGGACTCATGGAAGCAAGATTTGATGTGACCTCTGTCATCTTATCAATAAACTTGTTTACATCCCTTTTAGTAGGAGTTAATTGGTCGTCATAGTTACTGGGCTGTAACACTCTAGAAATGCTTGTACCAACATCATATCTAGAAGGGGTGTGTAGGACGTCCTCTGCTAGGTTAGGATATTCCATTCTACTGATGCTGGTTCCAATATCAACTCTAGGAGGGGAGATAGGAATGTTAGCTTGGACAGAACATTCCATTCTAGATATACTGGTACCTTTTTCTGCTGTAGGTGGGGTACGAGGTAGGGGTGAAGTGGCGATGGAATGGCGTGATATTCTTCCTGGAAAACACACAAAATAATAAGGGATCATAGATTTATTCTTATGAGGAAGCTCCGAGCATGCTTGGAGGATGCTCGGAGCTTTTTAAGTTTATGTGACAATAATTATCATGATCCATTAAGATGTCAATCAAATCTACACAACTTCTATAATAAGGAAAGTAAAGCATTATAGAGGAAGCTCAATTAACACCTGTGTAAACATCTGGTCTATTTAAATACATTTTGCATGAAATTTAAAAAAACTATAAAATAGATTAGAAATTCTTCAACAGTACTGTGTCATGCTTGGAAAGAAATCTCAAGTCTCCACAAAAAGTAAAAGTGATTTAAATAATTACTTATTAAATTTAATAATAATTCCTTTTTTTATATATATTAAAAAAAAAACTCTCAAATTTTTATAATTAGATGATTTGATTTAAATATAGTTTATAATATGCTACATAAAAGTTATCAAGACACAAACAACAGTCAGGGGGGTGATACTAAACAAGTTATTTTTTTAGTTACTTATATATAGGTATTTTTTGTTTTTAAAAATTATTTGATAACTCAATAGTTATTTTACAACGTCAAAAGAAGCATGGACTAAATGTAGTTTTTAAGAATTTTTATATCATTTCATTAAATACAATTAAGTATTTGTACAATTGAGATGAGTATAGAGAGGTTACTTTAAAAATAATGACAAAAATATTACTTTTATAAATTATTTTATACATCTTTGAAAAACTTAGTACTTACAATTATTTAAGGAACATATGTAATTGTTTTTGATTAAGATTACAAATTATAAATAACTTCAAGTCTTAATTAAATCACAAGGTTCCATCTATTTATATCTGTCTATCTCTAAGATTTTAAGGGAAAATGATATTTTGATAGCCCCAAGAGACCAATCTTTGACCAAGAAGTGTGGTGCAGAAAGGCAATTAGTGTTTCAGGAGGATTTAAATAGTTTTATATTTCACCAGGAAAACAAACCAGATGTCTGTAAAAATTTCTTAAAGCTAGTGTATGAATGAACACCTATAAAAATAATATTAACAGAAGTTACTTATTCATGATATAGAAGTAATATTTGAAACAGCTTCATTTTCAACATAACTTGTATAGGTAATTTTGAAAATTACTTGTTTAAGTAATGGCTCTAACTAAACAATGGTAATAAGTTTTTTTATAAAATAGTATAACTTAGTTCTTATATAGAAAATATGGCTACTTTAGGAAAAGTTGAGGGGTAATACCACCATTGTTTTCCTTCTAGTACGTCTCTCTTTAATTGGCATTTTTATAAATTGTGCGGATTTGGCTTTGTTTTAAATAAAGAAATACTTGGCATGAGTAAAGTTTTATCCTGTCCTGTACTTTAGTGAAAATCTAACATAAAATTGTTTTCCCTTATCAGTCTTTGTTTAATTGGTATTTAAAAAAATAAATGTGCAGAATTTATCTATGTTTTAAATAAAGAATTACTTGACATGAGTAAAGTTTTATCCTGTCCTGTACTATAGTAACAATACAACAAAACATCAACAGAAGTTAACCAATCAAAATCTCTCCCCCTTTTTTTTACCTGTTTTACAAGCTTTAGCTGCCATGTCCCCTAAAATTTCCAAAATATTTATAGAACACCAAATAATTTTTTTTTATTGCTTTGAAACACCCAAGATACATGTTTACGTCTCAAAAACACTTTTCTGCAATGAAATGGAGGGTTAATTTCCAACAACTGTCAAATTAAATGAAATATAAAAAAAAATCAACCCTTTTTCGCATGAAACTGAATGTACTATGTTTTGGTAGTATGGTTATAAATCAATAACCATAGTTTGTGTCTTTGATGACTTTTGTAGTATAAATTTAAAATATATTTATATTTAAATATCAAATTTGATTATTTTTTTTGTATTGAAAAAGAATGATAATTATTAAGAAAATGTTTTAAAAACATTTTCTTTCTATGAGGACTTGATAATTCTTTCCAAGCATTGTACAGTACTATTGAAGAATTTCTCATCTATTTTATAGTTTTGTAAAATTTCATGCAAAATTATTTGAATGGACCAGATGTTTACACAGGTGTAAATTGAGCTTCCTCTATAATGCTCTACTTTCCTTATTATAGAAGTGCTATAGATTTGATTGACATTTTAATGGATCATGATAATTATTGTCACATAAACTGCTGAGAAGAGCCTACTTAAAAAGCTCTGAGCATCCTCCGAGCATGCTCAGAGCTTCCTCGTCAGAATAAATCTATGATCCCTAAGAATGTTACTTGTTGATTGTGATAATTTTCCCATTGCTGATCAGAATGACCTGAGAGTTATCTCCCTTCATTGCCTTCTCACCTGTAAAATACAATTATGAAAATCCTACAAAAGTTTATTTCTTTTACCTCAAACAATCAATTTAGATTTAAATAAAATGAGGAACTTCTATATATAACAATCAATTTAGATTTAAATAAAATGAGCAACTTTAATATATAAAACAGGTGATCATATCCTAATTAAAAATGTTCGCTGCTCTGTTTCAAAGTAACAAGCTTTTCAGTTAATAATTTTTTGTTTTCTTCTTCGACTTTGGTATTGTGTACTGTAAATTCAGAAATTACATATGTACATTTATTATTGTGATTTTGAAATTTTTGACCACAATGTAATTATTATTTTGCCATAATGAGAAAAACCTCGCTTCATTAATATAAAAAAATCCAAAATGCTAGTTTATATTATTGCGATTACAACACTATTGCATTTTTTGCAATAATAATTTAATTTTGGATGTAACGCGTCTTCTGATTGGCTGACGTTGTTTTGTTTATCAGCTCATAGACATAATTTTGTCATGTGACCGTGACGTCATCAACGTTTTTTCATGGTTTATTCCGGTTTAAAATGGAATTTAGAATTAAATTATAAGAAATGACTGTAATATTTTTTCTGTCTATTCGAAATAACATAAAAAATGTGGTGCACACTTTAAAATAACCTGCTACGCGAGTTATTCAGTGTGCACCACATTTTTTATGTTATTTCTTCATAGACAGAAAAAATATTACAGTCATTCCTTAAATAAAAACATCGCAATAATTTCTGAATTTACAATATTTCAATGAACTTCTGATTTTATATTATCTCCTTGGTGTCTACTGCCTCTTGTTTAATTTATCATGTTAGATTACACTCTGAATTTTATTTTTATTTTTGTTTTATAAGAAGAAAACTATAAAAGTGATTATCAACAAGAATGCATGTTTTGTCATACCCACCCCCCTTTTAAATTCGAGTATCATAAACAAGAAGTAGGTGTTTGACAGTCCAGAAAAATACACATTATACAACTCTGATAAAGTTGAGCATATAATAGAAAATAAAAGGATATGGAGTAAATGTACATGGGACTAAATCGCACACAATACATAGAAAACATAGAAAATTATCAATGAACAGGGCTTTTATTCCTGTTCTTCATCTTGACAATTGATGTAGGGTCTTCAACAATGAATGAATCATTCATACCCTACAACAAGGTCAAGACGGCCCCTAGCGTCGACTTAAGTGATACTATTGATAAAAATAAACCACAGTTCACCTTCTTGCTCCCCACCTGCTTTGGAGTACCAACTTGTGCGATGCTTGTATACGACGGTTCTCCAGTTGAAAGCACCAGGGATACAAGAAAAGCGCAGTAATTTTGAAAGACATCGATCGATGCTAAAATATGCCTTGAAGTTACACATGTCAGGAGCGGTCAATGAATTACATAATTTTTCAACATATATTTGTCATACATTGCCCAACAAAAGACCAATAATTTCGAAACAACAAATGATAGACAATACATATAAAACTAAAAAACAAATGATAGACAGCACAGGGCACATGGAAATATATGCAAGAAAACCAAACCTAGCAGTTTAAAATAGTATGAAAGGGCAGTATACAAAACAGATGACCAGACCAGTATTTTGAAGAAATTTAACCAAACATGAAATTTTGACGGTGTATTAATATGAGAAATTCTCACATGAACAGGCACAACATAACTGTAAATATTTAAACTTCTCAGTAGAACTAGAGAAATGTGTTAGGTCAAATTTAAAGATCATTTATACCATAGAAATTCAATATTAACATGTTCCTAAATAACTAAAGCTTTCTGACCATAAAAGTAAAGTCTACATATATGGGTCTATCAAAGACAGACATTCTTTAAAGTATAAAATGTTAAATAAACTACCAGAAAATGGGTTCTTACACATGTGGTTTTCATGTTCTTACATTCTGTGAAAATTTTATCCAAATTGAATGAGATGAATGATACATTGTTGATAGTTTGCTGTCTGTAGTTTTTTTTTTAATTGTTTTATCAGTAATCAGGCTGTTGGTTGTCTCCTTTGAATCGTTTTACATTTTGTATCACATCTTTTCATGTCGGGCAATTTATAGCTTACTATACAGTATGGGTTTTACTCATTGTTGAAGGTCGTGTTGTGACCTGTAGTTGCTTACATTATCATTATTTGGTCTCTGCTGAATAGTAGTCTCATTGGTAATCATACCACATTTTCTTATTATTTATATAGGAGGAGAAATAAAGTTAATTCATAGCCCTAAGATCTGATTGTTGCAGGGAACCAAAATAAGATCAGTATCCTGTTATAATACAGGAAGTAGCCCTGATCATGCATGTACCTTGTTCTACCATGTCAGCTGCTTCATTGGGTATATCATCCTCATCTACTTCACTCAGAGGCTTGTCAAAGTCTAACTTATCTACCCTTCCATTAAAAACACTGCCATCATCCTGTTGGCCTAATGCTATTTTTTCTTCCAATGAATTTATTCTCTCATGTTGCATTTTACGTTTCTCAATCAACTGTTTTTGTCTCTCTTGTAATTGTCGCTCCTGTTCACGGAGCACCTCCTGTAGCCTGTTTTGTTCCTCCATGAGTTTTTCTCTTTGGCTCAGTAGTTCTCGTTTCCGTTGACCTGGTTTCAGTTTTTTGTAGTATTTCATATACTCTCTGTCTCCTATTTGACTCTGGTGAAGATTTGGTGAATACTGTAAATTCTCATCGGATTCCAACTTGTCTTTGAAACCAACCTAAAAAGTGTATAAGTGTATAAAGTCAATTTTTAATAAACAAGTGAAACTGTGAGCTACTGCTCACTGATGATACCCCCGCCCAAATATTTCGGTAAACAGGAAATTGTTGAGTGATGAATCTGAAAACTCATCGAACGTTATAACCGACTTATATAAACCCTGAAACCAAATTTCAGAAATCCTTGTATTGTAGTTCCTGAGAAAAATGCGACGAAAAATTTTCATGGGACGGATGGACGGACGGACAGACTGACGGATGGACGGATGGATGGACGGACAGACAGAGGTAAAACGGTATACCCCCACTTTTTTAAAGCGGGGGGTATACTAAAGAAAATTGGATTATACAATACCTTGGAAAAATAATAAAATTTATTGAATTCAATGGTTTATTGAATCTCATGCTAAATTAAAGTGGACACGAGTTTGCTTCCCACGACCATGAGCAGGTGGAAAAAGCAAAATTCATGTGGGGTGTAGTGTATCATGCCAAAATCTTTAAACATGTTTGGTTAATACCTTTAAATAAGTGTAAGCATGGTCAGTCATACATTGCTGAGGGTGAAATGACTTTTGTAATAATTCTTTTTGTATATCTACATTCTATTTTTGCCCTTACATAAAGAATCTAGTAAAAATCTAAATAATGTGAAAGTGAATTACAAATAATACTGCAATCAGCTCAGTCTGCCATAAACAATGTGATGAATGCCCTGTGTATAAACTAACTACATGAAATTCATGGTGTTCAGAATTGTGGTTTATATTTTTATATATATATATCTTCCCCAACCTGTCACTGCAGTCTTAAAATCCTACAAATGTATTTTTTCAGTTCTCAAGTGTTATAATAAAATACCTTGGTCATAAAGAAGACTCTATCTTTACATTAACAATATCTTATTTGTTTCTTTGTGTTCTTGTCAGATAAGCAAAAGTTTCACCATTGTGACTTGTTTTTAGAAAGAACAAGAATGTGTCCATAGTACACGGATGTCCCACTCCCACTATCATTTTCTATGATCAGTGGACCGTGAAATTGGGATCAAAACTCTAATTTGGCATAAAATTAGAAAGATCATATCATTGGGAACATGTGTAGTAAGTTTCAAGTTGATTGGACTTCAACTTCATCAAAAACTACCTTGGCCAAAACTGTAACCTGAAGCGGGACAGACTGACGAACAGACGAAAGAACGAACGAACGAACGAACGAACAGACATAGACTGAAAAACATAATGCCCCTCTACTATCTTAGGTGGGGCATAAAAATATTGATATTAAGTATAAATTTATTGTTTACGTGTGAATTTATTACCTGCGCAAAAGAAATATGCAGTAAAATCTAAGATGTTTGCAACTTTGCATTATCAAATCAAGGCAAATTTAATAAACTCTCTCATAATTTTCTTCAATGGCCATTGTGGTTATCGAATAAACTGAATTTTCAATGTGATATAACCAATTATGCTCTGACATAGTGTAAAAAAGTAATTCTAACAGGACGTCCTTCAAACGCTTTGAGTACACAGCCGTGGTAAAATATGAATATATTGTTTGGGCTGTTCCGATCGCACTCCCACGTCATTTGTTTTTTTATGAATGAGCTACCCGACGTCATAGAACGATGACGTCAGAATGTAAGCATTTTACGGGAAAATACACGCTTGTGAAACCAAAAATCATCACAACAAGGAAACGTAAACAAACGATGCTAAAATGTGTTATATAAGCCATTTTTGTATACATATAAGACATATAAGTACAATTATCATTTAGATTCATCCAAACCTATCTAAATATGTTATTGTAAATAGTTTAAGCATGTCATTTATTCAGTTTGCTCCGGTCTTTCACGTCAATTTAATAGTGCGTTTATTTATGGGAACGGCAAATAATGCCTTCATCTAGAGCGCTTCGATCCAAAACAATTGCCGTATTTGTCCTATTAGAATCGAAATAATTCATGGGGGCTTGAATATATCGTGATTTTACCACGGGTTGTCCCTTTATGCCGATATTTTACCCCTAGCTATCGCTCAGGGTAAAATATTTGTCATAAAGGGCCAACCCGTGGTAAAATCACGATATATTCAAGCCCCCATGAATTATTTCTTAATCAATCAAGATAAAATCAATCCATTTCTTACTGCTGCTGAAAAATTGTTGCCAGGATAAACACTTTTGACATCTTATAATAACTATAGACTGACTAAAACATGGTTAACCCCACCACATTCTTTATGTGCATGTCTCAAGTCAGGAGCCTGTATTTTAGTGGTTGTCATTGGTTCATGTCTGTCATAATTGTTTTTCGTAAACTGTTTTGTTATAAATTAGCCGTTAGTTTTCTCAATTGAATTGTTCATATTTTTCATGTCGGGACCTTTTATAGCCGACCACACAGTATGGGTTTTTCTCATTGTTGAAGGCTGAATGGTTGCCTATAATTGCTTACATTCACTTCATTTGAACTTTGGTGTATAGTTGTCTCATTGGCAATCATACCACATCTCCTTATTTTTATATAAGAGCTTCAAGCAAGCAAAGTGAAACCATACAAATGGTATCAAAAAAGTCACAAATCACCCCCAAAATATGACCATAAAAAAACCTCACAGCATTCTCATATACTGCCTCCGGTAAACGGACAGAGAGTCACAGGACAAAAAGTCACAGGACATAAAGTCACAAATTTAATAGGACAAAAAGTCACAGGACAAAAAGTCACAAATAATTTTTTTGACAATTGTTTAAATATATTTTGAAATAATTTCTTTTTATAACATATATTCATTTTTAAGTTAAGGAAATTGCTCATAAACCGTGATAAATGAAAATGTAATCATGCAAAGGATATATTTATTGGCAAAATGAAGCCATTTAAGTACCAAGCCACTTTGACATTTTGTTTTCATAACAATTATTTGATCATTATTGAGATTTATTGAATAAATTTTAATTAAAAAACATTGCATCATATATAAAACTTCAAGAAAAATACAAAAAAAATGTTTTCAAGATAAGTGTTTTCTTGTTCAAAGAAAATTAATCCCAAAACTGAATTGTGACTTTTTGTCCTTTGACTTTTTGTCTGTGACTTTTTGTCCGGGACTTTTTGTCCTGTGACTTTCTGTCCTACATTCACTGCCTCCCACACCAAAACAACTCAGTTACAGTGTATACATGCAGATTTTCATTGCTTCTTCAACTTACTTATTTACTATTTACTCCTTAAGAACACAAATTCCAACCACTTTAAACATTAAATGAAATAAAGAAAATGTTTTTTTCATATCTTTCTTTTTTCTTGAAAGTTTTCGTATGAAAATGTCACTGCAATGTTGTTGAGGAGTACATGATTGATTGTTGTTTGCTTAATGTCCAGTGGCAGATATTTCTTAATGATTATAACCAGAAATAAAGTAAAAAGGACAGTGACCAAAATCTAAATGGAGAACTTTTTGGAGCAAACAATTCACCAATAAGAAAAACATTTCCCATAAAATACATTGCCGACCATAATAAAACATTTCCCATAAAATACATTGCCGACCCTAATAAAACATTTCCCATAAAATACATTGCCGACCATAATAAAACATTTCCCATAAAATACATTGCCGACCATAATAAAACATTTCCCATAAAATACATTGCCGACCATAATAAAACATTTCCCATAAAATACATTGCCGACCATAATAAAAACATTTCCCATAAAATACATTGCCGACCATAAAAAAATATTTCCCATAAAATACATTGCCGACCATAATAAAACATTTCCCATAAAATACATTGCCGACCATAATAAAACATTTCCCATAAAATACATTGCCGACCATAATAAAAACATTTCCCATAAAATACATTGCTGACCATAAAAAAATATTTCCCATAAAATACATTGCTGACCATAAAAAAACATTTCCCATAAAATACATTGCCGACCATAAAAAAAACATTTCCCATAAAATACATTGCCGCCCATAATAAAACATTTCCCATAAAATACATTGCCGCCCATAATAAAACATTTCCCATAAAATACATTGCCGCCCATAATAAAACATTTCCCATAAAATACATTGCCGCCCATAATAAAACATTTCCCATAAAATACATTGCGGACCATAAAAAATATTTTATGATCTAAAATGGTATTAATTACAGTAATTTGTAGTGGTTGGCATCAGTGTATAAGGTTTCAAATTAGAAATCGGAAATTATCCTGAATGTCGCAAAATATAAAGATCATTGAAGAAATTCATGTATGAAAATTGCCATGACAATATTACCTGTACTCCATGATTCTCAGAAATCAAAACAACTGATCTAGGCTATTAAACAGAAAAATAATTAAATCTAAAAACAATACATTTTACTTATGGAAAAAAAATGAATTTTGTGCAAAATCAGACGTTTATCATAAAATCATCATAGATACCAGACTTAAAATTTTGAACGGCAGACATGTGTTTCGTCGACAAAAGACTCATCAGTGAGACTCGAATCAAAAAATTTAAAAAGCCAAATAAAGTACGAAGCATTGAGGACCCAAAAATACAGCTAAGGTAATCTATTCTTGTGGTAAAAAAAGTTTAGTAAATATATAGTAAATTTATAATTATGACCATATTAATGATAATTAATGTTAACACAGAAGTGCTGACTTCTGGGCTGATGATTAGCAAATTAAGTTTTAATTTTAAATTTTATTGTATCTACTTGCTTAAGATTTACAATAATACCAGTAGATGTATTTGCATGCATTGAAGATCATATTTACATGATTATTTATGTACCTGTGCATTAAGTCTTGACATTTCAGTTTGTGAGCACTGCATTTTGGTGATTGTTCATCTAAAGATATCTCCAAATGATGTACTGTGAAAGTACTTTTATTCGTGGGGAACCAATTTTTGTGGTTTTCGTGGATGACTTTATCCACGAATTTAAGTGTCCAACGAAATATAACAACTGTTGTCCAGATCAAGACATGAAAAGATTCCCATGTAGGTTTGACTACCGATATGATCTATAGAATACATTGATGATCAACAAATCTGAGACTACTATAATAGTAGTCTCAGGGCAAATGCACTATGAACTACAACTGCATGCAGGATTATACCCATTTAATCTTTAAATACCTCAGCTGTACAACTTCTGATCTTTTAATGCTCATAAAAAATATTTTTGATCGATGAAAGTCAGATTTCTGGTGATGATATGCTATGATAAAGTGTTCATTTTATATCCTTCATGCTGGGCTTGCTTTTGATAAGAATTAATTTTACAATTCAATGTACATTTGTAGCATTTGTTTATGTAACTGTTTTCTTTAAGTGACATGTTTATGGCCTAATTAACACCTTTGATGGTCTTTAATCTGTTGATCACTCGATCTCAGGTTAATTAGTGTCATCACTACACGGGTGCAACAATTTAAATGTTTACTTTGCAATTTCCTTCAATCTAGACAATTTGTAATCTTCGTTTCTAATGGCTTCAATTCTACGCACTATTGTGTTTTTTTTTTTAGAAAACTAAAATCCACGAAATTAAAAACCCACGAACATGTAACTTTTGCTCTTATCACGAAAATTGATAACCATGAATTAAAGTACTTTCACAGTATGTAATTTTGATTTTTGATTTTTTGTGTTTTTAACGCCACTTTTAAGCACCGCTTTTGGGCTATTTCGTGGCGGCCAGTTTTTATTGGTGGAGGAAGCTGGAGTGCCCGGAGAAAAACAATGACCTTCGATAGGAAAACTGACAAGCCTAGTCAATTAAGATTCGAGTTGAGTGCACCCACACGAGCAGGGTTCGAACTCACAACCTCAGTGTTGACTGGCTAATGATTACAGTAGTAACTACTTAGACCACACGGCCACCGAGGCTCCAAATGATGTATGTAAGAGTTTAGTGAATTTTGTCTCGATAGTTTATCTGATCTTTTTAAAATTTGTATATTTTTATCTGATTTCCTTACTTCCTATATGTTAATAAATTTTCTAAGAAATAAAAAAAGATGGGAAGTAAACATCAAGACAGCTTTACAATAACAAAAATTAACCAAATACAAAATTCTTTTCAACCTTTATTTTAACCTTTAATATTTGATATTAGGTCAGTGAACATTTTTTTATAAATTTAATGGTTACTTCAAATTTTGCTTTGATAGATGTTTCTAACATTAAAAAATTGGTTGGGAAAAAACAGCTTTTTTCTTATTTTCAAGTTTATGTTGGTTTAAGGTGGTACATATCACTACTGAAAAATCAGCTGAACGTTTTAATCACTTTCTATTGTTAAGGAAATATTAAGCTTCTCAATGATCAAAATTGGTGTTTGTCAAACTGCTATATATCCAATGAAAATTTTCTGATAAAGTGTGTGGCTCAAGTTTTTTGAAATTTTTATATTTTTGTCAAAGGGTCAAAGTAAATATTTTGTCAAAATTTTATGAAAATTAAACAAGCCAAATTAGTTTTAGTCAAGGTGTTTGGTACCACCTTAATAAAAGTAAAAATGGCAGTACCGGATTTCAAGTACTATTTATAACCAAAAAAAATCTTAATAGATAGATCAGAACTGAAATTCGCAAAATAGAATCAAACAAGTCCCATATTCTCCTGAATATAAAGCGTTATTTTTCCTCAGTGTTGGTCCCTGTGCCTTATAAAAGGGTGTGTTTTCTAAAATTAAAAATACATTATCATGTTATTACTGCCTAGCAGTTTTTTTACCTTATTTTTCTGTTGTGCATCCAGCCTTGAACTTCTTGGTGTTTGACTTCTAGATGACCTTGGACTTGTATCTGGTATCAGGGGAATTAAATCTTGTGATTCAGTGACGTATGGATGAATTTCCATGCTTTTGTGTGTGCTGGACATGATAGGCTCTCTGAAGTTTCTAGGAAGTGTGGATTTTAACGGTTCTCGCCGATGATTGGTTGATTCTCCAATAATGGTACTAGGGACTTCATAAGATTTCTGCATGGCTATTTCTTTATCTATCATGGACGTGACCGGCCTTTCTACCCTTGCTTTCACTTCCTCCCGACTGTATCTACGCTCCATCGGTTGAGTTCTGGGTGACCTCCCTTGGTAGGAGGCAGGAGACAGTGACCTCTGACTGAATGGAGAACTTTGACCATTCTTAATGAGTCGGAATGGATGCTGGGTCAAACCTGGTGAAAGCTGAAGTAAGATAAAATGGTTTATATAAAATTAATTGGAGATACAAGTAAATAATATGTGTAATACAATCAATGACAATCGTGCTTGCTGTATCAGTCAGCCATAATGAAATCTATATTAGTCACCATTACAAGTGTTTTATCACACCCTTAAACTGCATGACATATAGTTATTGATATCAGTCGAGGTTACAAAGGCTTTATCAAACCCCTATTAGGTCATTTCTCGTGAAAAACATCTAAATTAGTTGTACTTGAGATACATGTATATAATAAAGTGTATATGATATGGCATAATATATTGGTGTCTCAGGTTGATACATGTGTTATTGAAAAAGCCATATGATATTCTCTAATTATTGTAAAGCAACAAAATATCTCATTCCGAATGAAATCATATTGCACTAATGCAAATAAAAGAACAGAGTTCCAATGTCCCCTGTGTGGCACATAAATTATCAATCCAAGGTACAAGGGCACTAACTAAAAAAAAAACACTTTTTTTGTTTTTTAAAACTTTTATAGAGAAATGTCAGAGGAAATGCAATGTAACGATTTCCTTTATAATTAATAATTCCAAGGGGCATAACTCGTTAAAAATTATTTGACCAGCTCTTAGTTCCAAAGTGTCAAAGACATTGCTGATATAAACCTATGATGTAGGTTTCATAAAATTCTGGCAAGAATTGTACACATAAGAGCGCTAACAATGCAATTTTTCATATAATTTATGTTTCCAAGGGGCATAACTCTTTTTAAAAATAATTGATCGGCACTGATTTTCAAACTCGCCCAAGACATTGCTGATATAAATCTATGATATAAGTTTCATAAAAATTTGGCAAGAATTGTACGTGTGAGAGCACTAACAAGACAAGACGGATGGACAGTCGCCCAGTATTCTATGTCCCCAGCAACTCGTTGCGCAGGGCAAAAATAAGCTTCAAATCATTAATGTGAACAGTAACACAAATATGTATTAGTTTGTCAAGCTTTGAATATTACGTTACTTGCAAGTTCATGAGATATAAAAATGTGTTTTGCAATACAAATGGTGTTAAATAAATCATGTGAGCTTGAATTCCATATAAAAACTGTGAAAATATTAGTAAATATCTAAGGAGGAAAGACAAGCATCATGGCTGGCAAATTTGAGTTTCTAGACCTTGTATCTGTCAAACAGACATGCTTGACATATTTGCTCAATGATAAAGAATGTATGGTGAACTACATAGTTTGTTTACATCCTTGATCTTTTCCTGCTATTCTTTAAACATGTCATGTGACTAAATCATGTGACCAACCTCTTGTTCTCTAAGTGATTCATTAAGTCATGTGATTAAATCATGTGACCAACCTCTGTTCCCTGTGTGATTCATTAAGTCATGTGATTAAATCATGTGACCAACATCTTGTTCTATAAGTGATTCATTAAGTCATGTGATTAAATCATGTGACCAACCTATTGTTTCCTAAGAGATTCATTAAGTCATGTGAATAAATCATGTGACCAACCTTTTGTTCCCTAAGTGATTCATTAAGTCATGTGATTAAATCATGTGACAAACCTCTTGTTCCCTGAGTGATTCGTTAAGTTTCTCTTCCTTTTCTAAGATCTGGTCCTGATATTTAGATAACAGTTCGTGACATTGAAATAATCTTTCTTGTATTTCTGTAAAATATAGTAAGCAACATTAAAGTTTTAGTTAAGCATGCTTTTCTCTTACTTTATCATATTCTTTGTTACTCCTCTGGTTTTTTTATTACTCCATGCATTAAAATTTTTGCCAAGTTATCAACACCCAGTTACATGCATTGTTCTGCTATTAAAGGGTGATTCCAACAAAATATATATGGAGGGGGGTGTTGGATGGTACTTGAATTATTGTTGTATGGGTGGTGGCAGGTCAAGAAGTTCGAATTGTGTGGTTATTATGAAAATAAGATGTGGTATGATTGCCAATGCAATGAGACACACTCTCCACAAGAGCCCAAATGGCACAGAAATTAACAACTATAGATCACCATTATGTATGCAAAGTAAATGGCAATTGTATGGATGGTGGCCACACAAAAAGAAGCTCTCAAGAGCCTGAATCGCCCACCTGTATTTCAGAGGAGAAGATTTTTAAATGTTAGCAAACTTGATGAACAAATTGTGTAAAATTGTCTTTAAAGGGCAATAACTCCTTAAGGGGTCAATTGACAATTTTGGTCATATTAACTTTTTTGTAGATCTTACTTTGATGAACATTATTGCTGCTTACAGTTTATATATATCTATGATAATATTCAAAATAATAACAAAAAACTGCAAAATTTTGTTAAAACTACCAATTCGGTGGCAGCAACCCAACAATGGGTTGTTCGATTCGTCTGAAAATTTTAGGGCCAATAGATCTAGACCAATTAAACAATTTTACCCCATGTCACATTTGCTCTAAAAGCTTTAGTTTTTGAGATATAAGCCAAAAACTGCATTTGACCCTTATGATCTATATTTAGCCATGGAAGCCATGTTTGTCGATGGATACAAACTTTGGATAAAATTTATAAACAAGATACCCTAAGGAACATTTAGTTAAAGTTTGAAGGTAATTGGCCCAGTAGTTTCAGAGGAGAAGATTTTTAAATGTTAGCAAACTTGATGAACAAATTGTGTAAAATTGTCTTTAAAGGGCAATAACTCCTTAAGGGGCCAATTGACAATTATGGTCATATTAACTTTTTTGTAGATCTTACTTTGCTGAACATTATTGCTGCTTACAGTTTATATATATCTATAATAATATTCAAAATAATAACAAAAACTGCAAAATTTTGTTAAAACTACCAATTCGGTGGCAGCAACCCAACAATGGCAGGGGTTAAGAAATCCACTAGCCTGACGCCCGGGACTAAAGCATTTACACTTCGGGCAATCAAAACTTGTAACCAAATATGCCCGACGGACTAGTAACAAAAAATTCTTGGCGTTTCCAAAACACAAAGTGGAAAATCCTTTCATCTTTATTCTAACTTAGCCAATCAAATTCAATTACGTCATCCGGGTTTCCAAGAATTTGAACTGATTTTGTATGTTTTAAAAATAGAACAAATGACTCTGGGTGGACCGGTATTGTGTATTGATTGCAATTCCTGCACTATCATTATCGATTTCTTCGTTCTTAGCGTATTGTACAATGCTCAAGCCGAGACTTTCAATTAACGGTACTTGGGGTATGATGCATTGATTGATGTCAACTGTTACTTAGTAAGAATGATTTAATTAGCCTTTCAGAAATACATGTTAACATAAAATTCTAAATTAATGATCAATTAAAAAACAAGAGGCTCTCAAGAGCCTGAATCGCTCACCTGTATTTCAGAGGAGAAGATTTTTAAATGTTAGCAAACTTGATGAACAAATTGTGTAAAATTGTCTTTAAAGGGCAATAACTCCTTAAGGGGTCAATTGACAATTATGGTCATATTAACTTTTTTTGTAGATCTTACTTTGCTGAACATTATTGCTGCTTACAGTTTATATATATCTATAATAATATTCAAAATAATAACAAAAAACTGCAAAATTTTGTTAAAACTACCAATTCAGTGGCAGCAACCCAACAATGGGTTGTTCGATTCGTCTGATAATTTCAGGGCCCATAGATCTTGACCAATTAAACAATTTTACCCCATGTCACATTTGCTCTAAAAGCTTTAGTTTTTGAGATATAAGCCAAAAACTGCATTTGACCCTTATGTTCTATTTTTAGCCATGGCGGCCATGTTTGTCGATCGATACAAACTTCAGATACAATTTATAAACAAGATACCCTAAGGAACATTTAGTTAAAGTTTGAAGGTAATTGGCCCAGTAGTTTCAGAGAAGATATTTAAATGTTAGCAAACTTGAACAAATTGTGTAAAATTGTCTTTAAAGGGCAATAACTCCTTAAGGGGTCAATTGACAATTATGGTCATATTAACTTTTTTGTAGATCTTACTTTGATGAACATTATTGCTGCTTACAGTTTATATATCTATAATAATATTCAAAATAACAAAAAACTGCAAAATTTTGTTAAAACTACCAATTCGGTGGCAGCAACCCAACAATGGGTTGTTCGATTCGTCTGAAAATTTCAGAGCTGATAGATCTTGACCAATTGAACAATTTTACCCCATGTCACATTTGCTCTAAAAGCTTTAGTTTTTGAGATATAAGCCAAAAACTGCATTTGACCCCTATGATCTATTTTTAGCCATGGCGGCCATGTTTGTCGATGGACCAAAACTTCGGATACAATTTATAAACTAGATACCCTAAGGAACATTTAGTTAAAGTTTGAAGGTATTTGGCCCAGTAGTTTCAGAGGAGAAGATTTTTTAAATAGTTTACGACGACGGACGACGACGGACGCCAAGTGATGGCATAAGCTCACATGGCCCCGGTGAGCTAAAAAGAGCTTTCCGACCCCCCATATTGTTTTTTTCTGGAATAGCCCTAAGCATACCACCCATCTGAGTTCAGTCTTCAGCCCAAGTTGGGGATAAACTTTTGGAGGCACAGGTCAGACACTCATTTTTGGGAAAACATTTCGTAGATTCTATTGGCCTGCAGTAGAAATTCTTACAGGCCCGATAGAAATGTTTTGGATAAAAGAAATTAGGTCTCTCAAAGATTTTCATAATGCACAAACATTAGAGAGGGTGGCAATGGAGGTACCAATGGACGAATAATGGTACAAAATCTTGCCAAATGACATGAAAGGTAATTTTTGGTGTATATATGATAATAAAATGTACATTTTTTCTTTATGAAGACACACAAATCGACTGATTTTGAAGAATCATGTTAAATTCTTTCCAAAAATAACGGCAATGGATAATTATTTGAGACCTCTGACAAATCACGATTACGATATTTTGACAAATCATAATCATACTTTAACAAATTTGAAGCTAACTATAGCTGAAAATGACTATTTGACGCCTGACGGTAATGGGCATTCCAACCCTCATTAGAACTCATCACATTCAAGTCGCTAACTGAATGTGTCTGTAATACCAAAGACTTGCAAATATATTTTAGCTCATTAACGTTGCCTACAATAATATTTATAAACAGATTATCAATTATGATGGTCTTTCAAACCATAGGACTGTTTCTCTAGATGTAATTGATAGAAGTGCCCTTCAATAAGATTGCAGCAGAGAATCAAAGCGCGAAAGCGCTGTAAAGGCAGTTAATTACAGGTTGTGTGTATTTTTAGTCCAGTTATATCATTATCTTGCATAGTACATTGTACTTATCAGAGGTGGCTTTCAGTATTTAAGATTTAGAGTTCTCTAATGATATTGAACAAGTTTTATGAATGTCATATTCTGAGCACTATATGAAGGCGATTGTTCTCACTTGTTTATGAACTAGTGCATTATGTCCACTTTGTACCTTTTTTTATCTATGTTTATAGTCAAATACTGTTTAAAATAGTTTGGCATTTTCTTTTTAGTAATAAGTAAATGTTATCAACTGTATTTTATTCAACTTCGCAAATGTGGTTTGTTACTGGTAGGTACAATGTATGGATGATAGTTGTTTCAATGGCAATCATAACACATCTCCTTATTTATATAAAATGATCTATATTCAACGACCTCAGGTACAAAAAAAATGTATGTAACTAAACTATGATGGGAAACCTTTGACTTCTTTCTTTTATATAAACTTTTGATTTGGTACCATAGAACTATGTAGAATAAATGTACATTGCAACATGTCAACTCTTTCAATGACAATACTTTTTTTAGAATCTATAACTCCAAGCAAAATTATATTTCCAAGTATAAAGTAATTTATGAATGAAACAAGAGTGCACACGCTGAAATGTCTCGCCATCTTTACTAATCATTGATATTATGTTGATAGTCCTAAATATAAAGCTTTATTACAACTGTCACATAACCAAGTAAACTAAACATTGACCAATGAACCAAGAAAATAATGTCAAGGTCAGATGAACCATGCTAGGCAGGCATGTACAGCTAACAATTCTTCCATACAACAAATATAGTTGACCTATTGCTTATAGTTTAAGAAAAACAGACCAAAACACAAAAACTTAAAACTGAGCAATGAACCTTGAAAATGAGGTCAAGGTAAAAAAAAACCTGCGTGACTGACAAATAGATCATAAAATATTTCCATACACCAAATATAGTTGAACTATTGCATATAGTATTAGAAAAAAAGACCAAAACTCAAAAACTTAACTTTGACCACTGAACCATGAAAATGAGGTCAAGTCAGATGACACCTGCCAGTTAGACATGTACACCTTACAATCATTCCATACACCAAATATAGTAGACCTATTGCATACAGTATAAGAAAAACAGACCAAAACACAAAAACTTAACTATAACCACTGAACCATGAAAATGAGGTCAAAGTCAGATAACACCTGCCAGTTGGACAGTCCTTCCATACACCGAATATACTAGACCTATTGCTTATAGTATCTGAGATATGGACTTGACCATAAAAACTTAAACTTGTTCACTGATCCATGAAATGAGGTCGAGGTCAAGTGAACTGTCTGACAGGCATGAGGACCTTGCAAGGTACGCACATACCAAATATAGTTATCCTATTACTTATAATAAGAGAGAATTTAACATTACAAAAAATCTCAACTTTTTTTTCAAGTAGTCACTGAACCATGAAAATGAGGTCAAGGACATTTGACATGTGACTGACGGAAACTTCGTAACATGAGGCATCCATATACAAAGTATGAAGCATCCAGACCTTCCACCTTCTAAAATATAAAGCTTTTAAGAAGTTAGCTAACGCCGCCGCCGGATCACTATCCCTATGGCGAGCTTTCTGCGTTAAAAGTCACAGGCTCGACAAAAAGGAGTTCTTAATTAAGAAATAAACTGATTCGCTGAGCGCAGCTGGATACACCTGCAGAGGTCCAACCCTGAACAGTTGGGGCAAAAATGGACACAATATTCAAGCTTGATACAAGTCTGAATTTGGATTGTAATTAAATATTTGACATATTATAGTTTCTGAATAAATGTAGTCAAAGAACTTGAAATTGGTTATATGAATTGAATTTATATTCAATTAAAGATTTCTTGCTGTTGTGCAATACACTGTGCTGTTGCGCAATACTTAATAAATCTGTTGCCAGACTATAAACAAATAAAGTTCAATTTCTTCTCAATGTCATATTTGAAATTTAGGAAAATCAATAGGGAGATTACATCAATAGCTATAAATAATTCACCAAAGTTTCATGCGAACTGCTTAAAGCATTTTTGAGTTGTCCAAAAACTGGAAAATCCCCCCCTTTTTTAATGAATAAAACCCCATAACTCAGAAATGTAAAATCTAAAATTTATCAAATTCTAAAGGGAGCTTACGGATTGATAATTTAGTCTTAGATGCAAGATTTTTTTATCAGTTGTTAGTGGCTTTGAACTAGCTGTCAGTAAATGCGAGTACTCTCAGATCTGTACTTAGTGTCTTTTTGTTGTTTGGATGTACAACTACCCGGCCACGTCCACTTGTATTTGTATTTATCCATCTGATGAGTTAAGCCTCTTTCAACTGATTTTTTATCGTTTGTTCTTATATTGTACTGTTACACCACTGTCCCAGGTTAGGGGGTGGGTTGGGATCCCGCTAACATGTTTAACCCCGCCACATTCTGTATGTACACGTATGTGCCTGTCCCAAGTCAGGAGCCTGTAATTCAGTGGTTGTCGTTTGTTGATGTGTTGCATATTTTTTATTCGTTCATTTTTTGTACATAAATTAGGCCGTTAGTTTTCATGTTTGAATTGTTTTACATTGTCATTTCGGGGCCTTTTATAGCTCACTGTGCGGTATGTGCTTTGCTCATTGTTGAAGGCCGCTGTTAATTTCTGTGTCATTTGGTCTCTTGTGGAGAGTTGTCTCATTGGCAATCATACCACATCTTCTTTTTTATATTTACATCAACAGATATAAACAATTCACCAAAGTCAAACTTGTAAGATCTCTGAAATTTTTTACACAGTACAAGTTTTTCTAATTGTTGGAGATTGTACGGTGACAGTAACACCTGTAACTGCTTAACCCATTTCTTATGCACTTTGGTTCGATAAACTCACTGAATATCATACCACATCTCCTTATTTTTATATGCATTACAATTTACATGTGTATGTAATTGTAAATAATATTTATATATATATATCAGAACAAACTTCATTGTGTCACTTTTATTTATGTATCCTTTGGCACAATACAAGTTCTAAAATTACACAACATAAAACAACTAAATGTTATTTCAGATGAAAGTTTTGTTTCAGTTCCATTCATAGGATTTATTAGAATTTTGTATGTTTTGCCAAGTCCAATAATTAGCTCTATGTGCACGTGTTAATTGGAGACTTTTCTATCCCGTAGAAGAGTTTTGGAACTAATTCTGTTTCTTTTTGAGCAAACAAATCTTGCACATTTAAACCTTTGTCTGCCATCACACTGTCACCTGGATCACATAATTGAACTATTCTACATCTTTCAACTATTTCACAGTCACTGGTACAACCAACATATGCATTAGAGACATAGTTGACTAAACCACCAGGTGTCGAACATACAAGTATTTTCAGTGTTTCTGTTTTAATATGATGAAAAGGTTGCCTGAGCTCTAGGAGCTTTAGGTTTTATCACGGGATATTCTGTGCTGTCAATAATAATCCAAGTTGTAGGAAACTTTAATTTGAAGTTGGATGGCGAAAAATACCTGACTAAACCACTTAATGGCCAAGTGTTAGCCTCACGCCACTGTTTAGACATAAAAACAATCCATGTTTACACAATATTCTTAACACTAGTTTCAATCTAGAATCTAGACAGTTCAAAGTTGGTTGTATAATGCCTCAATTTCATCAAAGTCATAAAAAAACTGATTTTCAAATGACACCCTATCAATTTGAAAATATGTGTATCTCAAACAATGTGCTGCTGGACCAAGTGTGGTGAAAACAAATAAAAATTTAGTATACAACTCTAAACCGGTATAAAAATGCATGGCTGTGTCACGTGTCTTCATTTCAAAATTCTCTGCTGAAAATATAGGCATTGATGGTGTTTGCGTAATTCCATCTGTGAAGCTCAACATTAGCTCGGCAGTTGGTGGTGGACAGTCATAAATCCTGTCTGCAGTATGAATGACTTCTTCAGGAAAACCAACTTTACAATCAAAACTTTCCTCTAGATTTCTACTACAATATTCATCAAGTTTAGTTCTTTTGTTTTCACAGGAAACTGCCCTGATTTTTCTTTTTGCGGACGATTCAGTCTCTTGCTTAATCCAGGAAAATAGGCTGGGAATGGCAGTAGACTTAAGTCTCTGTATGGTGGGTTTGCGCTCTGAAAAAGGTTATAAAACATTAGTTTTTTGATAATTAAATGAACTTCCATTAGCAATGCATACTTTGTACTACCTGGCAAAATATTAACTAGATTTATTCATTACAATCTGGATAAAACTATGTTAGCCTGAATCAATGTACATCAAAATGTATGTTATGTAAATCCAAAGTAAGTAAGTAAGTAAGTAAAACTTTATTTTGATTCGGCATATTGACAAACATACAAACATAAGCTCTAATGAGGACAAACAATGAGAGACATATGCAACAAACATACATTGTTTGTACCTAAATAACTATAAAATAGATGAGAGCATGTCATTGTTTTGTTCCTGTTAACATTGTCATTGATATTTTTCAAGAAAGTCTATGAGGCATAGCTTATGCATTCCTGTCATTACTACATTAGCATAATTACTGCTAAAATAATTCTCAGTATGATTTACCTCTTGTAAGAAATCATTATAATTGTAGCAAGCACCAAAAAATCTCAAACAGATCACATTGAATCGTAATCCAAAAAATTATGACGTCTTGAATTAACCACCCCCTTTTATTCTAAAACGATAATTGCGGTTGTAAACAAACTTTGGTTTATTCGCATGGCGATTTCATATATAACTATATATTTTAAAAAGAAAATAGAGTTTTACCATGAATAGTTTCCTGCACGTAGTCTTTTTCAGTAAAATGTGCATTGCAAACAACAGCTGATTGAGATGGACTCCACGATTTCATCGTGTTCTCGTCCAATCTGCGTATGGGCCATGGCGTTGATCCAACTTTTCCTTCTTTTTAAGTCATTTGGAAATGCATGTCCTCCTATTAAATGACATCCAGGTACACAACAACATGTACTTGGCATCGTTAATTAAAAATGCAACTGTAATAGTTGCACAGTGCAGAAACCGGAAGTTGAAGAACAGGATCGGCTACCACGGCGCCACCTATTCAGGAACGATAATTTGCTACTTTATATAACCGCGAAATAACAATTACGTTAGACGGGTTCGCGTGCATAAACAGAAATGCGCTTTAAATTGTATAATATAATTCATGTTCAGTCGACCATTAATTATTATATCAACGACTGAAATGATTTATAAACATCTAGATTGCAGATAACACTCGAAATTAACCCGACCTCTTTCCACACGGAATTCAAATAATTCTAGTTTGTCAATCGGTTGACTGCTTATAATGTAAAATACAAATATATCAAAAGTTTTTAAAACTAACAAAACACAATGATCGTTTCTCTATTTCCCAATGTAAATGAAATGAAACAAAAAACATTTTATATCACAATAAGAAGAGGAGAGAATCAACATTTTCCGGATCTACTTGGAGCCTAATGACCCCCCACGTAGATAAGTTGGATATCGCGGAAAGAAAGATTAACACGGCAACTAGAAAGGCATTAAAGCACTGCCTTTAAAAACCCTCTCATCCATTGGAAAATTACCCTCCCCCCTTTTGAATGGAAAATTGGACACCCATTCCTGTTAATGCCTTAATATGTATATTCAACTAGTGCCATTCTATATTTAAGCAAATAGGGTCAAAATTGCATATCAAAATCCCAAAAGCCTGTAAGGTAATTTCCTAACAGTGAGCAATAGGCTATAGGGGTGTGAAGGGGGGTCAATTTTCGTTGATGGGGGGTCAAAACACCAATAATACCATGGCTAAGTACAATTACTATCAAAAATATTCAAACATAATTCTTTCATTCTGGATATGTTTTGAAGCATTATAAAAAGATAACACAGTTTTTAAGGCTTGAATATTTGAAATTCTGATATATATATACATATATATATATAACATGTATAAGGGAAGGGATGGGGTCAATTTTCCGTAGTAGGAAAATCGTATGTTTGTTGTTTCTTATATAAGTACCTTCTCTTTCCTTCAATGCCTGTTCCTGTTGTTGAACCAAGTTTAAAACCTGTACTTCAAAGTTTTCTCGCTCCTCCTTTAATTGTCCCAGATATTTCTCTTTTTCATCTCCAACCCTAAATATAACAAAATACACAAGTTCATTGCCATTCCTGACCATTTTAAGAAATACTCTGCATACGAATCATGCAAATTTTAGAAATACCGATTGATGACCCAGGACGAGTTTCTACCATATATTGATATGTTATGTATGTGGTTTTTTTTCCTTCACAAAATGGATATTTCTATGTTTTGTTTAGCTAAAGAAATAAAGAGGAACAATTCTACTTATGAATGGGAAAGTCTGGAACAAAATCTGGAAATTCAGGCAATTGTTTGTGTTGATAAAAGAAATAAACTGTTGACACAGAGATATGTCTCACCTTTTTGTAATTTTGATAGTATAATGCAAATGTTGAAATTAAATCGGCAATATTAAAACATATAAACTATGCAGAACATTTAAAGTCAATGAACCATGACTGAATGTGCAGGGCTAAATAGCATCCATGTAAATGAGAAATGCAAATGCTTATTTAACTGCACACCAAAAAACTTGTAAAATGTAAAAATGAAAGTCAATAGATCATAAGTTATTGGTTTTGCTCATTGATGAAGGCTGTACGATGACCTATAGTTGGTAACTTTATACCATTTGGTCTCTTGTGAAGAGTTGTCTCATTGGCAATCATATAACATCTTCTTATTTTATATAACATATGTGACAAACTGATTTTTTTTTTGTTAGAAAGTAGGAAAATTTTAAGCTAAAAATAAGTTTATGTTAGTAGGCGAAAAAAATTGAAAGTGGTGAAAAATATATTGTTTTGGCGAAAGAGGTGGCGGAAAAGAAAATTGACCCAGGGGAAACCATGAATGAGATGCTTATACATCTGCATACAAAATAGCAATGACCAACCACTAGTGGTTCCCCTTAAACTGACTTACAATAGCAATGACCAACCACTAGTGGTTCCCCTTAAACTGACTTACAATAGCAATGACCAACCACTAGTGGTTCCCCATTAAACTGACTTACAATAGCAATGACCAACCACTAGTGGTTCCCCATTAAACTGACTTAAAACAGCAATGACCAACCACTAGTGGTTCCCCTTAAACTGACTTACAATAGCAATGACCAACCATTAGTGGTTCCCCATTAAACTGACTTACAATAGCAATGACCAACCATTAGTGGTTCCCCATTAAACTGACTTACAATAGCAATGACCAACCATTAGTGGTTCCCCTTAAACTGACTTACAATAGCAATGACCAACCACTAGTGGTTCCCCTTAAACTGACTTACAATAGCAATGACCAACCACTAGTGGTTCCCCATTAAACTGACTTACAATAGTAATGACCAACCACTAGTAGTTCCCCTTAAACTGACTTACAATAGCAATGACCAACCACTAGTTGTTCATTAAACTGACTTAAAATAGCAATGACCAACCACTAGTGGTTCCCCTTAAACTGACTTACAATAGCAATGACCAACCACTAGTGGTTCCCCTTAAACTGACTTAAAATACCAATGACCAACCACTAGTGGTTCCCCTTAAACTGACTTACTCACAAACAATTATTTGTTTTACTAAGCAAAAGTTTCAAAGTCATTAGACCATGACTGAGTCAATTGGGCCGAATAATCTCAATGGAAATAAAATGTGCCGTTGCTAATACAAAAACTCATACCAAATATTACCACTAGTTCAACTGACCTAATCACAAACTAATAGAATGTTGACATCACTGCCAGGGGAAACAGCACACCTAAATCTCGCTTTTTCCACTTCATAAAGGCGAGACAAAAATTAACCAAAATTTAAAAAAAAAAAGTTTTAATCACATAATTTGCAAACAACCGTATGAGTGTTGGAAACAAACATATGGGTGTGAGCCAAGGCTCCGTGTTGAAGGCCATACTTTGACCTATAATGGTTTACTTTTACAAATTGTGACTTGGATGGAGATTTGTCTCATTGGCACTCATACCACATCTTCTTATATCTATATCATTTACTATTATCTTCAACACACAGATCTTTCAGAGAAACTCTGTCTGTCCCTTTAATACCTTGCCAGTTCCTTGATAAGATTGGCAACTCTCTTTTTATCTTCAGCACACAGATCTTTCAGAGAAACTCCATCTGCTTCTTACTTTGCCAGCTCCTTGATAAGATTGGCAACTCTCTTTTTATCTTCAGCACACAGATCTTTAAGAAAAACTCCATCTGTCCCTTACCTTGCCAGTTCCTTGATAAGATTGGCAACTCTCTTTTTATCTTCAGCACACAGATCTTTAAGAGAAACTCTGTCTGTGTCTTACCTTGCTAGCTCCTTGATAAGATTGGCAACTCTCTTTTTATCTTCAGCACACAGATCTTTGAGAGAAGAGGGACGAAAGATACCAGAGGGACAGTCAAACTCATAGATCGAAAAGATCTTCATACATTCATGCAATTTTGCTACTGGGCGGATGATGTCCTCGGGGACAAAATGTCCACCAGCAGAGACATCGACCCAGTGGTTATAAAAGAGGGACGAAAGATACCAGAGGGACAGTCAAACTCATAGATCGAAAAGATCTTCGTAAATTCATGCAATAGAGAAACTCTGTCTGTGTCTTACCTTGCCAGTTCCTTGATAAGATTGGCAACTCTCTTTTTATCTTCAGCACACAGATCTTTAAGAGAACCTTTGTCTGTGTCTTACCTTGCCAGCTCCTTGATAAGATTGGCAACTCTCTTTTTATCTTCAGCACACAGATCTTGAAGAGAAACTCTGTCTGCTTCTTACCTTGCCAGCTCCTTGATAAGATTGGCAACTCTCTCTTTATCTTCAGCACACAGATCTTTAAGAGAAACTCTGTCTGTTTCTTACCTTGCCAGCTCCTTGATAAGATTGGCAACTCTCTTTTTATCTTCAGCACACAGACCTTTAAGAGAAACTCTGTCTGCTTCTTACCTTGCCAGTTCCTTGATAAGATTGGCAACTCTCTTTTTATCTTCAGCACACAGATCTTGAAGAGAAACTCTGTCTGCTTCTTACCTTGCCAGCTCCTTGATAAGATTGGCAACTCTCTTTTTATCTTCAGCACACAGACCTTTAAGAGAAACTCTGTCTGCTTCTTACCTTGCCAGTTCCTTGATAAGATTGGCAACTCTCTTTTTATCTTCAGCACATAGATCTTTAAGAGAAACTCTGTTTGTCTGTCTTTTGTTTTCTCTATTCATTCTACTCTCCAAGGTATCATCTGAGCTACAGGAAGACTACAATTGACGGAATCATTCATAATAACATTTTAATATCAACTCTCTATGCAGCTTAACAGTTTACTGTAAACCAACTAATTTTTTCAGGGATACTTAATTTTGTACTACACTCTTTCTAGCTGACTTCCCAGTGATTTATTTACATGATTTTCTTGTGTTTTACAATTTCAGACGATTTATAATCGTGTTATTTATGTACTCATGAAAGTTGCAAAAATAAATTGATCGCAAAAATTAGTTAGTTTACAGTATTTTTTTATTTTTAGTAACTTGTAATTGTGATACTAAAAACACTGGATCAATCCCACTTATGAACTGTTTGTCCATGAGTATATTACTAACCGATCTGTGTGAATTGCTAGTGCTTTTGTACAGGCATTATATGATTTTGAAACATGCACTACCTAGCTCAAAATAGAGGGGCACAGCTCCCATCTACCCATTCTGTGCTCCTTTTTACCCTGATGTGCACCCATTTTTTTGCAAATACTTTTCAATGCAAAAAAAATCATATTTACTAATGGGATAAACTTTTCACAGCCTAAAACACTGTAAAAATACTATAAATCCAGCAATAACTATTTTGTCCAAGGTTATAGTTGTCTTTTTGACTTTGTTTTACATCTCCCCCCTTTTTTTATTAATATTGTATTTATATTGTGTCATAGATCAAATTTATTTGTTCAGTGTATGTTTACTTGTTTTTGTTAATATGTCTTTTTGATTGAGTTAAGCCATTTCAATTGATATTTTATAGTGTGTCTTTCTATGTTGTAATGTTACACTATTATATCAGGTTAGGGTGAAGGTTGGCGCCTGTTAAAACGTTTAAAACCCACTGCATTTGTTTGCACCTGTCCTAAGTCAGGAACCTGTTGTTCAGTGGTTGTCGTTTGTTGATGTGGTTCATATGTGTTTCTCGTTTTTTATATAGATTAGACTGTTGGTTTTCCTGTTAGAATTGTTTTACATTAGTCATTTTGGGGCCCTTTATAGCTTGCTGTTCGGTGTGAGCCAAGGCTCCGTGTTGTGGATGGAGAGTTGTCTCATTGGCACTCATACCACGTCTTCTTATTTCTATATATTTTGTTTCTAAAGAATCCCTAATTTTGACTGGCTGACAATAATCACGAGGCATTCCAAAGTTAGATTTTATTTCTAACTAAGATGCAGCCTTCATTACAGCATGTGTACATAAAATATTAAAGGGGAATGTTTTTCTGATTCATTTACAGGTAAATTGATGTCTGGTCCCCATTATTCATTTGCATGCCTTCTGTTAATGTTTATTGATTTTTTCAAAGAAATTACACAAATTGGACTAAAGATGTTTGCCTGGAAGTTTCTTACTTTTTGTACTAGACTGACACACTTGTTGAATTTTAATTCTGCCAGCTCCTGAGATAACTGTAAAGCATATCAACCTACTTGTTATTTGGTCTTCCGTTAAATCAATTGTAATTTTTTTCTCGCTTCTTTTAATATTAATACTTGCTGGAAAATGGTTTTGGAAGAGTTGTCTTTCTTGGGAGCATGATTATAGTTTTGAGAGTTTTGCCTTTCTTGGGAGCATGATTATAGTTTTGGAAGAGTTGGTTTTCTTGGGAGCATGATTATAATTTTGAAAGAATTGTTTTATTTCAATAGTTTTTTTAACTTTATCAGCTGTTTACAGACATGACAGAAGGATTTTTTTAAATTACCAGCTGTTTCATCCTTGGTGTGTAAGTCTCGACCTGGGGCTGCTTTACAGGAATCTTTGGTTTTATTTCTAGTGTCTTCTTACATCTGATACGAGGACGTCGATTTCCCTTTTTAGAAAGACCTGAAAAAATAAAACATATAATAATAGAAACAGCTGTATCAAGAGAGAATTACATTGTACATCATTTGTACATGCTTATGTATTAGACAGCAAAAAAAGAAAACAAAACAATCACTATTTACATGGGTGACCTCTATCAACTTGTAATCCATGAGGTTAAAAATTTTGAGCTTTGATTTTAGACTCTATAGACGTCTGATTGGACTCCAAATAAAGGAACAGACGTTGATTAGAAACCTGACTTTGTTCGGAGTTTAATTTCTATAATATAGTTTGTATTGAAGACTTACAAGTTTGTTAGTTTTGCTCAGTTTGTTTGAAAAACCATGATAAAGAGAGACACATACACTTTATGACCCTAGCATGGTCAGCTGACATCATATGTAGTCCTTTAAAAAATGCATAATTCCACTTCAAAATATTGTACAAAATGTAAAAATGATGATAAAGGACTACTGCACACCTTGTGTTATTTCTAAATAAACCAAGACCTGATCATTCACTTTTCAACAGTATTTCTTGTAAAAAAAAAATGAAACTTTTTTCATTACTGCACATTTATGTCCTATATTTGTTCTATTTCTGGGAGTTAATTAGAAATGCTTTATGTTTGTTTTGATATTGTAACACAGTGATGACTGCTGTACCCATATTTTGACTATTTTATTTATAATGTCTGTTTTGTTCACGCATCGTTGTAAATATAACGGAATTTGATAAGACTGGCGTACAAGTGAGAGGTTTAGCGCTAGTAAACCAGGTTCAATCCACCATTTTCTACATTTGAAAATGCCTGTACCAAGTCAGGAATATGACAGTTGTTGTCCATTCGTTTGATGTGTTTTGTCATCTGATTTTGCCATGTGATTAGGGACTTTCTGATTGAATTTTCCTCGGAGTTCAGTATTTTTGTGATTTTACTTTTTTTTTTATAAACATTTGACTTAAGATCACTTGATTATTACATGTATCCCCTAACTGTAAAATGGATTTCATAGCATGTCTATATCATGTTTATTTATTCTTCTATGAGGCAGTCAGTTTTATTATTGAATGAAACTAATGATAGGTAACACATTCAGAGTAAATATCCCATACACATTTGGACTGTATCATTATTGCTACTCCCAAATAATTAGGAGCACCTTCCCCATATACCTAAAAAATAAACTGCTTCGCTGAGCACAGCTGGATACGCCCGCAGAGGTCTAACCCTAAAAAACATACCTGGTATGTAAGCATCAGCTGATTCACCACTACTGTCCATATCTACAACAAGAAATATACAATTATATATACATGGATTCACCACTACTGTCCATATCTACAACAATAAATAAACAATCATATATACATGGATTCACCACTACTATCCATATCTACAACAATAAATAAACAATCATATATACAGGGATTCACCACTACTGTCCATATCTACAACAATAAATAAACAATCGTATATACATGGATTCACCACTACTATCCATATCTACAACAATAAATAAACAATCATATATATATATATATACAGGGATTCACCACTACTGTCCATACCTACAACAATAAATAAACAATCATATATACATGGATTCACCACTACTATCCATATCTACAACAATAAATAAACAATCATATATACATGGATTCACCACTACTATCCATATCTACAACAATAAATAAACAATTATATATACATGGATTCACCACTACTGTCCATATCTACAACAATAAATAAACAATCATATCTACATGGATTCACCACTACTATCCATATCTACAACAATAAATAAACAATCATATCTACATGGATTCACCACTACTATCCATATCTACAACAATAAATAGACAATCATATCTACATGGATTCACCACTACTATCCATATCTACAACAATATATATACAATCATATCTACATGGATTCACCACTACTGTCCATATCTACAACAATAAATATACAATTATCATGATTATATCTACATTGTTTCCATGGTACATTATACACTAAATATTAATGGTAGCAAACTTATGCTTGACCAAATAAATTCCAGAAGTCATTGTACATGATGTAAATGTAGCTTCACACTTTTTCTGTAGTTTTGGAGGAATTGGGGTTATTTTTCAAACCACCAAATATATACTAAATTCCTGGCATCACAAATACATGTACGCATCCATGGTTTAAAGCATGAACTACAAATAATTTTGGACCACCTGCATAGATTTGTTACAATCGTTTATTGATTTAGTAACAATTTGGAAGTTGAAGATGACTGTTAAAATCTATAATGATTTTAATTATCTAAAATCGCAAATTCTTTAAGAATCATCCCCACTTCTTTCAAATTTGAGACAAAATATGAATAAAAAAGTTTATCTTGATTATAAATCATGGCCAAGGATATCATGTGGTCCAACAAAATTTTTTCCAGACTTTTGCAGATATTGTTAGGTAGGGGAGTATTTGAACTAATTGCTACCTGACAGACACACGATGTAATAATGTCCATCAGACAGGTCACCGTGCCACATCATGTGTCTTGTATGCAAGTTCCATGTGGATAACAATATGGCGGAAGTAAATATTCAAAAGGTGGCTAACTTATTCTAAATAAAAGCATAAAAAGTATTAGTCATTTTTTTTTAAATTTAAGATTTTCAAATGAAGTATTTACTTTTCAAATTTCCATTATTAACATATTAAAGAAACTAATCCTTCAGAACTTTTTTACTCTTTTATTTAGATACAGTTATCTACCTTTTGAATATTTACATCTGCCATATTGTTATCCACATGGAACTTGCATACAAGACACACAAATCGAATTCATGAAGTGAAATTGTAGTTTTAATGAGTAAAAACGTCCACTCTGTGTTTTTGTTAGATGTATTTCTATTTGTATCCATCTGATGAGTTAAGACTTTTTCAACTGATTTTTATAGTTTGTTCTTATGTTGTACTGTTACACCACTGTCCCAGGCTAGGGGGAGGGTTGGCGCCTTTAAACGAGTTGAACCCCGCCACATTCTATATGTGCCTGTCCCAAGTCAGGAGCCTGTAATTCCGTGGTTGTTGTTTGTTGCTGTGTAACATATTTGTTTTTTGTTCATTATTTTGTACATAAATTAGGCTGTTAGTTTTCTCGTTTGAATTGTTTAACATTTTCATTTCGGGGCCTTTGATAGCTGACTATGCAGTATGGGCTTTGCTCATTGTTGAAGGCTGTACGGTGACCTATAGTTGTTAATTTCTGTGTCATTTGGTCTCTTGTGGAGAGTTGTCTCATTGGCAATCATACCACATCTTCTTTTTATATTATATCTCAAAATTATATACTATAATATCTATAAAAGCATTATAACACCATACAAAATAAAGTTTTTGGGTAAAATTTATCGGTTCTCTGGTCAATATTCGGTTGTTGGGAGTTCTCAGGAAATCTTGGTACCCTGCGCTCAATTGTATCAGAAGTAAAGATGGGCATCACAAAAACCAGGATGCTCACTGGCACATTTATGACACACGCAACCAGATACAAATTTAACATAGAACACTCAGATCACATTTGCCAGCTGTGTGCGATATATTCAGAGGATATCAAACATATTCTATTGGAATGTCCAGTCCTTTTTACTGTTATTTGTTTGATTGGTGAAAGGAAATGGCTTGAACTTTTTGGAAACCAAGAATCTATCTTGCCTCTGATTTTGGACTGCTCAAATTTCAGTGAAAACTTAAGTACCGAACAAATAACAGACATTACAAAAATATCTACTGAATTATGTCATCAGTTGTATATTGAGAGATTAAAATTGTTGGAAGGATTCAGAATAACATCCACAGTTACCCAGGGGGCAAGAGAATCTAATCTGTAGTATTTCTAAGTGATCAGTATTTCTAAATGATCAGTAACTTTAAAACATGTATATTATTTGTCTAAATATATATGCGTATATCTTAAGTGATGGAGGTGATGGCAAGGTAGTCTCCTATTTTTTATTCTATAAACTTTATTTATAGTGGTGAGACCAGTTTTAGATTTTAAAGAATAGTATACACCTTATCGCTATTTGTCCGCCATTACTGGACATCACACAAGTTCCCGTAAAATTTTGACGTCATAATAGAAAATGTCTGACGCCACAATGGAAAAGTGATTGTTGTATGACGTCAAAAGTTCGAGCGGGACAGATTCTCGGGTCAAGCGGGAATAGCAATAAGGTGTATTGATCATGTTGATCAAATTTGGAAATGTGTGTGCGACTCTTGGGTCATGTATACATGTACATAATATCTCTAAGAGGAGGTATGGAGAACCTGTAAATAGTGTATATACTTTTACTGATACAAGAAATTTCTTGGTGTTATACAGACAGAAGAAGAAGAAGAAGGTACCCAGTACTCATTAAAGACATTATCATTTGCATTGCATGCGTCATTTATCCATGCATTAAGAGAATGACACACAACAAAGGTCAGAATGCAAAGATTTGTCAAAACAAAACAGAGAGGATATAGAAGTATTTACAAATTAAGTTGATGAAGTGACCAAAACGACAGATGGAACTTTGGGAGACATGTTACGACACGAAAACTTTCCAGTTTTTCAACTTGGACTTTTGCATCTCACTTAAAATTCAACAATGCAATTCTTATGTGCGTTATTCGATTCATTGTATAATTTTTCATTATTAGATCGCACATTTACCAAAATTTGACCAGAATACGTTGTTTTTCATATCCAATGTCATTACAAAAATCAAAACATAGCGCCGATAAACCGGAAGTTGTAATGTGTACAGGTATACATGGATTCGAAGACGGAAAGGATACGAATCTGCATTTGTATGCTATCATTTTTTTTAAACAGATGGAAATTATATGAACAGCAAATATTTTATTGCCACAAATTTGCCATCAAATCAGAGATGCCATTCCTTCAGATCTCCTCATTCATAATGAAGAACACGAGTCTACTTTCTCTTTCATTTTACACATCGTACTTTCACTTTCACTGACTAAGATTTCAGAAAATCACGATTTTTAAAAGGAACTGCCAAGTTGTGTTAAGATGGATGGGTACAAGGTTTATTTAAACTGACAAAGTTGTTACAGATTTCGATTGAGAGTAAGTAACATTACATGTACTCAAAATGAAATATATAAATATGAAAGCTGGTGTTTTATTACTTTTTACTGAGTCTTAACCATGTTAACTACCGATTCAAAACTTTAAAGTCCATTAATATTTTTAATATAGACGATGCCGACCTTCTAGAGGTACTATTTAGGAGCTGCATTGATACGGTACTCGAACCTGATGCTGCAGGCTGGTATAGAATTGTGTTTTACAAAGCAAAACATGTTTATCCTATGCTGGGACTAATGACATGTATATGAGCTTTCATGTCGATCCGGCCCCACGTCGATCCGGCCCAAGTCGATCCGTCCCACGTCGATCCGGCCCAACGTCGATCTGGCCCATATTTAAAGTCGATCCGGCCCCAATAAAAAAATATATTTATAAGGAATAAAAATAAAGATATATATTAATTGTAATTCATAAATGTTTATGAATTTTATTATAATGTAAAAGGTGTACGGTAAAAAAAATGGCCTTTGACAAATATTTTCTTTAGATGAGTATAAAACAAGTAGGTTGATTATGTTTTCATTACAAGTTTTCAAGATTATTGGGTATAATTATAATAAAAACGTATATAACAGAATTTAGTACAATCAACAGACATCAACATTAATCAGCAGTAATTATCATTTTCTTTCAATTGACTGTGATCTTAACAAGTCTTTCATCATTTGTTTTTGTTGAATAAACAAACCAATTATAGACTAATGATTTGATGAAACAAGTCATTATATTATGAGGTAAATTTTATAGGTTCCATTGGACTGTTAATATTTATTTAGCTATTATGTGTGTGCATTGGATAAAATAAAAATCGCCATGACATTCAAAGTTATCATGGAAAATAACTTCATATTAAAATGTTGAAGCTGCTATACAAACAGACACAATCACATACAGTTTCGTATCGATTTAAAATAATTCTTTGACTGGTACACCAATACTTCACTTACCTGTTGTCATCCATCATCGATACTTTTTGCAAAATCCATTTATACTGTTAAAATCCTCCAAAGTCAATATAGTTTATTCATATTTTATTATGGGGCCGGATCGACTTTGGGCCGGATCGAGATGGGCCGGATCGACTTGGGACGGATCGACTTTGGGCCGGATCGACTTGGGGCCGGATCGGTTTGGGGACGGAACGACCGGATACCGTATATGATATAGTCAGTGGCCCCAGCCCTTTATAAAAATCATAATGCATTATTTAAAATATAAAGGTTTCTCCTTACTTTATATTTCTTTTTAGTTTTGAACAGACATGTATTTATAGACATTATTCCTTTTTTTTTATCTCGAATTATTGTTGAATAATTGTGTGTATATATATATATATGAGGGGCCTGATGGGGGGTGGGGGGTCTCATAATGATTCAAGAGTTGATTTTTTTGTCAATCACGATTCACAGAAAATAAATTTCCATGATCACGGATCACGAAAATATAAAAAAAAAAAAAAATCTGTAGAAAAACGGATCACGATAGCGAAAATGCGCCGATCACGAAGAACGAAATTAACCCATCAGGCCCCTCATATATCTTAAAATGCACGATATTGAAACGTGTAACCAGTATAAGGCGTTTCCAACGATTCGTTCTAGTTAATGATTGGATTCAAGCTGTCCATAAACAAACGGCAATAACAAAAATCTATGAATATCTATCCATGTTATGCGAACTAAAATATATACACTGGCTCTTTACTGATATAAAGCAACAACGAACAATTATATATAATATTATACAAATATAATACAACCTTACAACCTGTACTCCGGACTGCCGTATGCATGGACGATCTGTCACTCTTAGATAGTGAGTGCTGGTACAGTCTGTCATCCGAGTGCATGGGACAACCTGTCACTACCATCTTCATTTCTACAGAGCGGGCTGGTACAGTTTGTTCTCCGAGTGGGACAGTCTGTCACTTCCAGACATTGTGGACTGGTACGTACTGTCTGTCCTCCGAGTGGGACAGTCTGCTCTTTCAACATTGTAATACCAGATCAACTTGACAATGTACATTTTTTTTGTACACAGTACAATTGTCCTCACAATATTAAAGCTCTACTATCATTTAATATATTCGTACGAACTGTTGATCTGCTGGTCTTTACAAGAACATCGATTGAACTTTTAACAGCTTATTGGCAGCTCATTTGACAACCCTCGATTGCTACTACTGTGAGGGTTTTTAACGACCTTGACTACCCATGAGGTTCACATCCTCTTATATACCTCAGGGCAAATACAATATTCCCTTGATAGGGGTGTTCCCCCATCTTTCTGCCATCACAATGGACTATGCAAATCTCAGATAGATTACTTTCTACATAAGAGCAATTTTGGAACACTAGATTATAAGGCCAAAATTTTTGACATGGAACCACTTAATGTCTCCGATCATACACTTGTATACGCAGTTATGCAAACAGTAATAAAACTGTAATAAAAAGAACATTATATGTTTTCAATAGCATTCAGGAACAAGATGTTTTTGTTAATTTATTTAGGTATTTTTTTAAATACTGATCTTCAATAGAAATTTTACAGTTGAAAACATTGTTGGTCCAGAGAAAATCAACATGACCCAGGCACATCACGAAAGATGAGTAGCCGGTGTCTTTTTGAGTTACTATCTCATTGACATAGAATAAATACTCACTTTATAACTTATGTCATAATACTCAATATTCTCACTTGTATTGAACATGCATGAAATATTTGCCACTGGATGTTAAGCAAACAACAATTAATAATCAATCAATTGATATTCTCACCATTAACAATGTAATATTTTTTTCTATAGAACATGGTGCTAGTTTTCTTCTGTGGAGATAACCAAGACGAGAAGACACTTTTATTGAAAGATTTCAAAAAAGCAACAAAGAGGAAACCAGAACTTATACCGGAAGTACACAGCAGACAGGAAAGAAGGAATGGAGGACAAGACAAAACCGTTCAGTACTGGGAAAACATCATAGAACAACACCATGAACAGGTATTATTTATAGGTTATAACACTAATGAATTGTCACCGAATTTTTACTTGCCATGCGCAACTCAACGGATGTCATTGGTGGAGCAGGAACTGCTTACCGTGGTGATCACCTGAATTCACCACTAGTTTTAGTGGGTTTGGTGTTCCTCAATTTCTAGTTTTGTTGACTGTTGCCGTTTCTCTTTTTTGGTCACGTTGTTGCCTGCTTTTTCTTGGCATTATAGGGTTTAAATGCCAATGCCTTTGGTATTTTCTCTCTAATGATAAGAAGTAAGCTAAGTGGTCGGGGCGTTTCAGAGAAAATTGTTGTCACAATGTACGGACGGAGGTTTGACAAAGTTAGTGACGACTGTAAAACTTTTACCTTAGAGTGTATCTTAATTATGATAACTGTAGAAAAAAGTCCATTCATCACTATAATACGATAAACAGAAAACAAAATTCTGTCCAAAATTTCACAAAATTTCATGAAGGTTTGACAAAGTTATTGATGTCTAAAAAGACTATTACCACGGACTCGTTCTAAATGTTGACGCCGCAGACGACAAAATGGATGATAGCTATGTCTCGCTTTCGAGACATACATGTCACAGGCTCGACAAAAACCAGTTTAAATCTGCAACATATGCATGTGCTTGTCCCAAGTCAGGAAAATGATTGGGATTGTCGTATGTCATATCTTAAAATCATTTACGTTAATTTGGTGCTGATAGTAGATCTTTGACTGTTTATTTACATCAAGAAAAGCGCTTCGGACGCATGAAATTTTTAAAGTGTTGTTTCTTCATTCTAAAATTGTGTGCTCGATCAACACTTTTACACCCCAATAAAATTACAAAAAGAAGCATTAATTTCGTATAATTACATTTTTATGCTAATAAGACCATGAACAAAAGTTTTATCAAGTTTTTCTTTTATTTACCTGTGCATTTTTTTGTGGTAGCACGTGTCATTACGAATGTAAAATTTCATTTTGATATGAAGGTTAATTTCTTTTAATGACTCGCGATTGTTGTTAGCCAATCAAACTAACGGATTCTCTTGAAACGTACATGTAATGTAATTATTATTTTTTATATAGACTCAATAAATATATATTAACTATATGTAGATTCGTGACGGTTTAGAGCTTGATATATTGTAAAGACACATGACTATTGTAAAGACACATGACTATTGTAAAGACACATGACTTTTGTAAAGACACATGACTATTGTAAAGACACATGAATTTTGTAAAGACATATGACTATTGTAAAGACACATGACTATTGTAAAGACACATGACTATTGTAAAGTAAAATTACAATAATAAAACTAAAGATTTAATAATAACCCAAACAGTAGGGTGCTAAAATGAGAAACGAAATCGAATCGCAATGAACGAAACGAAACGAAAAGTTGACAAAAACCTAATGAAACGAAACGAAAAGTTGACAAAAACCTAACGAAACGAAACGAAAAGTTGACAAAAACCTAACGAAACGAAACGAAAAGTTGACAAAAACCTAACGAAACGAAATGAAAAGATGACAAAAACCTAATGAAACGAAACAAAAAAATTGACAAAACGAATCGGAAAATGAAATGACAAAACGAAACGGAAAATTAACGAAACGAAACGGAAAACAACATGACAAAACGAAACGAAATATGTGATTTTTGAAAGACTTACTACAAAAAAGCTCTTAAATGGAAGTGGAACGTGCCTAACATTCTCCAAGAAGACAATATTTTTTATGGCTTGCAAACTAACTGTACATTAGGTCATATATTACATATCTAATTGGTCTGAAAACAAACTGAGATTATAAATATTTCAAGGACAGAAAAATAAAAGAAGAACTCTCTTTATCTAAATGTTCTTTATAACTACACCTTTTAGATTACGACCGATAATCGATTATTTTTAAGGGAGCTACCATTTGATTTTTATGGGGGGGGGGGGGGGGGGGGGGGGGGGGGGGCTAGGATGAAAAATTTTGTCCTGCCTTTTTATTTTTCCCTCTATTCGGTCCTGCCTTTTTATTTTTCACTCTATTCGGTCCTGCCTTTTTTTTTTTTAGTTTTCCTGACTTTTTTTTACATAAATTGTCATCCTGCCTTTTTTTTTTTTGCAAATAAACTCATCCTGCCTTTTTTTTTACTCAAAACTCCTGTCCTGCCTATTTTTTTCAAATTTCATCCTAGCCCCCCCCCCCCCCCCCCCCCCCCCCCCCCCATAAAAATCAAATGGTAGCTCCCTAAAGCGGAAAGACATGACTGCCGATTAGTTTTTGTTTTTCAAGAGGCAACAGAGAACACGAAAGACATTCACAATGTACAGAAAAAAGAAATTTGATGTTGAATGAATGTACAATAAAAAATCTAATGATAAACCGGTATTTGTGTTTACTTAATGTCCAGTGGCAAATGTTTCATGAATATTAATTGCAAGGTAACATTCTGACATCAGTGTCTTCGGAGTTCCCTTCAAACACCAGAGGTGAAATTATATGTTACTGAAGGATCAACAGTTCCTAATCCACTAGTGATACTTAAAGGGACATTCAAACCTATAACTCGAAAATAAACTGAAAAAGTCATGGCAAAAGAAAAAAGACAAAAAGACAAACATACAAAACCAAAGAATGAGCAACACGAACTCAGGTTCTCTGGAAGGGTAAGCAGTTCCTGCTCCACATGTAGCACACGTCATGTTTCTCATGTAAGTACAAATCCAGTGATAGATTTAATTCGGTAGGTCACCATCGGGGAAAAAGAGGACAGGTTTTTTAACCGGATTTTCGAAGGAAATATCGGTTATTAAAATGGTGACATACGGCGGGCGGCTGGGCGGATCGGGCGGCTGCCAAACAGCTTGTCAGCAGAATAACATGAAAAAGCTTTAACAAATTTTTTTCAAATTTAAATATTTTGGACTTAATGAAGGTCTAGTTCAATTTTCAAGATATTAGTATATCTCCTTTGTGAGTTATCGCCATTTTTAATATCCAAAAGTGGAATTTTAAAATATTTTACTCCTGATAAGATCTGTAGGACTGTATATATTAGACATTTTGTAGATAAATAAGTCTCCCTAAACCATATATATTCTAACCCCCACCCCCTTTCAGTTAGAGAATGTGCTTTTATCTTGTAAACGGTTGAGATCCCCACCCCTAAACCATATATATTCTTGTATGGGACAATAAAACAAATCAAAAATTTTTTTGGGGAGTCCCCTGGTTCACCCCCACCTCCTACTTTTTGTAAACTTGTAAACGGTCAAGATCCCAACCCTGAAACCATATATATTCTTGTATGTGACAACAAAACAAATCAAATGATATAAAAGGCAAGTCCCCTGGGGTCACCCCACCCCCTCCTGTTTGAGAACTTGAAAACGGTCGAGATCCCCACCCCTAAACCATATATATTCTTGAACGGGACAATAACACAAATCAAGTGAAATATAGGGGAAGTCCATGGGGGTCACCCCCACCCCCCTTCTTTTTGAAAACTTGTAAACGGTCAAGATCCCCACCCCGAAACCATATAAATATATTGTTGTATGGGACAATAAAACAAATCTAATGAAATAAAAGACGAGTCCCATGGGGTCAACCCACCCCATCCTGTTTAAGAACTTATAAACCGTTGAGATCCCCACCCCTAAACCATATATATTCTTGAATGGGACAATAAAACAAATCAAATGATATATAGGGGAAGTTCATGGGGGTCACCCCACCCCGCTTCTTTTTGATAACTTGTAAACAGGCGAGATCCCACCCCTAAACCATATGTATTTTTGAATGGGACAATAAAACAAATCAAATGAAATTGAGGGGGAGTCCCCTGGGGTAACCCCCACCCCCCCTTTTTTTTTGAAAACTTGTAAACGGTCTAAATCTCCACCCTGAAACCATATATATTCTTGTATGGGACAAGAAAACAAATGAAATGAAATACAAGGCGAGTCCCCTGGGGTCACCCCATCCCCTCTTCTTTTTGATAACTTGTAAACAGTCGAGATCCCCACCCCTAAACCATATATATTCTTGAATGGGACAATAAAGCAAATCAAATGAAATTGAGGGGGGGTCCCCTGGGGTCACCCCACCCCCTTTTTTTTGAAAACTTGTAAACGGTCAAGATCCCCACCCCAAAACCATATATATTCTTGTATGGGACAATAAAACAAATCAAATGAAATATAAGGTGAGTCCCCTGGGGTCACCCCCACCCCCTCCTGTTTAAGAACTTGTAAACGGTGGAGATCCCCACCCCTAACCCATATATATTCTTGTATGGGACAATAAAACTAATCAAATGAAATATAGGGGAAGTCCATGGGGGTCACCCCCACCCCCCTTCTTTTTGAAAACTTGTAAAAGGTCTAGATCCCCACCCCTAAACCATATATATTCTTGAATGGGACAATAAAACAAATCAAATGAAATTAAGGGGAAATCCTCTGGGGTAACCCCCCCCCCCCCCCCCCCCCCTTCTTTTTGAAAACTTGTAAACGGTCAAGATCCCCATGCCGAAACCATACATATTCTTGTATGGGACCATAAAACAAATCAAACGAAATATAAGGTGAGTCCCCTGGGGTCACCCCACACCCCCCTCCTGTTTAAGAACTTGTAAACGGTCGAGATCTCCACCCCTTAACCATATAAATTCCTGTTCGTAATTTCAAGAAGATTTGAATGACATACAGGGTATATCCATAGGCGTCACTAATGCATATCATAAACCAATTTGTACTGGACATTGCCCAATGTCAAGCGACAATGGGAATGACGAATTATTGGAGCTTTGTTTGGGAGACTTCGTAACAGCATTCTGTTACAATTATTTCTTGTTACTGATAAGTTTTATAGATTTTGAAATGACATTGTATTAATGATAAATAAAATTTTGGATTTTTTTCTTCTTTTCTTTGGTAAATTGTTTGTAGAATTTTGTGGCAAGTTTGTTTGTTATTCTGTAAAAACTAATTTTCTGAATGCTATATATTTTTTTTTATGAAGAAAACTCCTTTAAAAACTAAGCTCATATTGTCTATTAATAAACATATATTTAGATTTCTGATTTTGGGCCCACTTTTCAAATTGGTCCAAATTTGGGTCCAAAATTAAACTGTGTTTGATTTCAACATAAATTGAATATATATAGTGTTCTTTGAAATGCTTAATCTAAACCTGTATTTCTTTTCATTATTAATAAGATAATACCACCCAAAGGGTCCTAAATTACACTTTTAATAAATTTCATCAAAAGTTGAATTCTTTGGTTCTTTGATATGCTGATTCTAACAATGTTTGAGTGTTAAATCATATCTAATTTTAGAGAACTTAGTCATCACTGGTTGTTGTTATTATATTATTAAGTATAATTTGAAAAATTGCATCATATCCAGTTTGAGTTATTTCCTTTTGCACAGAAAATATTATGGATAAAATTAACCTGTGTTTCATTTCAACATAAATTAAATATATATAGGGTTCTTTCAAATGCTGAATCTAAACCCGTATTCAAATATTAGATTTCTGGGCCCAGTTTTCAAGTTGGTCCACATCAGGGTCCAAAATTAAACTTTGTTTGATTCAACAAAAAAATAATTGATGGGGTTCTTTGAAATGCTGAATCTAACCATGTATTGAGAGATTTTGGATTGTGGGCTCCTTCATCGAATTGGTCCACATTGAGGTCCAAAGGGTCTTACATTAAACTTTTGTCCGATTTCATCAAAAATTGAATTCTTGGGGTTCTTTGATATGCTGATTCTAATATGTACTTAGATTTTGGATATTGGACCATAATAGGTATTTAAATATCCAATTTCAAGTATTTCAGTTCTTAAACCACATTCATTTTGTGTCACAAACCTATGCTGTGTCAAATATTCAATCACAATCCAAATTCAGAGCTGTTTTAAGCTTAAATGTAGTGTCCATACTTGCTCAACTGTTCAGGGTTCGACCTCTGCAGGAAAATCTGGTTTGCTGTCACTCTGACAGCCTCTTGTTAAGGTTCAAACTAATTAGTTATGTAATATATGACCTAATAAACAGTTTGCTGGCAAGTTATTGACTTCTTAGAGAATGCCAGGTACGTTCCATTTACGTTTTAGAGCTTTTTGGGTAGTAAGTCGATCAAATATCATATATTTGGTTTCGTTTTGTTTTGTCATTTTATTTTTCGTTTGTTTTTGCTGTGTCAATTTTTCGTTCCGATTCGTTAGGTTTTGTCAATTTTTCGTTTAGATTTGTTTTGTTTCGTTTCGTTTCGTTCATTACGTTTCGATTTCGTTTCTCATTTTAGCACAACCCAACAGTGTTCCCTTTATAATAATCATATTTTTGTTTTTGAATTTGTACACACATCTTTTATTTATACATAATGATTGAAAAAAGAACCCGATTTTTGTAAAAGTTATGTTTTATCACTATGACTTACGAAATAGAGAGCCATAAAAAGCGACTTAAACATTACAAAAACAAAGTCGATTTTCATTTAGATTAAAAGACTATTATGAAGGTGTTAAATAGTAGTAGGTAATTGCAATTTAAACTATGGCTACAACTCACTTCGTCAAAATGACTATATTTGCTTACATCCGCGCCATTGGCCATCATTCTCACTATTTTTATAAAGACGATTATGGCTGTTCTTTTTTTACCCTTTTCCTCCGTTTTGAATATCATAAATGATTAATCTGTTTGGCTTCAAAACCGCACTGAATCGACATCAGTCTTTTCGAAAGTCTGGTCTAAAGGGAACTAACTAGATGCAGGTTATTTCAAAAACAAGTATCAAGCTTAAGTGCATTGAATCGGTACCAGGCTTCTCAAACGCCTGGTCTAGAGGGAACTTCATTTCAAAACCAGGTGTCATGCGATTTTAATCAGTACCAGTTTAAATAAACGTCTAGTCGAGAGACTAGAGGGAACTTGGTGTATATTTTTTTTCACAACTAAGTGTCATGCTCCCTGAATTGGCATCAGCCTTCTTAAACATAGGTCTATCGCGACTCTGGTTATTTCAAAACCAATTGTAAATCCACTGAATCGGTTTAATTTTTGGCGTTAATACTACAAACTGATAACACTGCTAGATTAAAAAAAATACATTTATGAAAACAAATATGAACAAACATACATAGTCTGAAAATAAAATGTTTCCATATCATATTATGGTCTTATTTATAGCTTCAACAGTACCATGATCCAACCAACGTTTATGGAAATATAGGGGGATGAGCTTTTTTTAGAAACACTTGAATGTGCATGTGTTTTATTCGCAGTAGGAATAATTTCTCGTGTTAACGTATTATAGAATTAAATTAATACATTATCTGTAGAGCATAACACAAAAAGGTTATTGTAAAATTTGATTTCTCTTTTCTATTATAGCTTCAACAGTGCCATGGTAACGATACCAAAGTTTATGTAGTTATTTATGGGATCATTGATATCTTAGCTGACGCGATAGTCTCCCTTGATGGAGATAGTTTTCAGAATCTCCTCGATAGAGGCAGTAAAGTTGACCAGTTAGTTCAACAATGTCAGTCTTCCATAGTGTTCCTGTTACCATACCAACAAGAAATCCGTAGTAATGGCCGAGCAAGTACCAACCAAGACCGATTCCACAGACATAACCGTTCGACAGCAACAGGAAGTCGACAAGATGAACAGACTGAGAAATACCACAAAATCATAGCAATGTATTCCATACCTTATTTAAAACTCGGTTATTGTGAAACAGGTACACCTGAACAGTTCAAAGATGACACCTCGTTGAATAATATCAATACCAATGAATCAAGGATTGAGCTTATTAAATATGCTGTCAAAAAATACATTTTCCCTCTTGATACTTCACGTTTTCGGAAGAAGGACAAGAAGAAGCCTAATAAATATGGAACTACCGAAGACAGTGATCACGTGACAACAAACTTCCTGTTTATCAAACCAATGAGAAAGAACGACGAAAGAATTGCTATACGAACTATAGACATAAAAGAAGACACGTATACAAATGACTGGGTCATCATTCAGAGAGGACGTACAAACAGATTTATGACAAAATATCCATACGCGAGGGAAAAAATAGTTCAGCTATATTTTAATGTTAGCGTTCGGACTGAAATTGTCAAGAAAATGCTTATGGGCATGATTACTGTTAACGGTATGAATTATGCATTTCTTGGTTGCAGCAGCGAAGGACTAAAGCATAGGAAATGTTTTATGTGGCAGGGAACACAACAGGAAGTGACGTCGATTATTCAACATAATGGCGACTTTGATCAAAATGTCGTTTCAAAAAGAATGGCGAGATTCGGGCTTCTTTTTTCGGAAGTGATGATGACAAGCATGGAGATTCAAAGCGATCAAATCATATTCGAAGATGATATTGAGAGTGATTGTAAACGATATAACTTTACTGATGGATGTGGATCGATAGGTTTGGAAATAGCACAGAGTGTGACCGCCGAAATAAACCGAATAGATAACACGGACATAAAAACACCACCGTCTGTATTCAAAATACGCTTGCAAGGTTATAAAGGTGTTTTGACATTGTGCAAAGAAATAAAGGGACACACTATAAAAATTAGGCCATCAATGATAAAATTCGAAACTTCAGCACATCCTCGGCTTGGTATTTGTGAATATTCAAAGCCATTTACATTTGGACATTTAAATCAGCAATACATTGCCCTTTTGTCTGGGCTTGGTGTTCCAGATGAGATTTTTACAGACTTTCAGACTGCACAGTTTGAACGTTTGCGGGAGATGACTGTTAATTTAGAAGCCACCATTTGCATTCTTCAGTGGCAGAAGAAATCAGACTTAGCCAGAGTTGTTATTGACCTTGGGAAGATGAATTTGTTGCCGCCTGAAGATATGAAAGAACTCAGGAAACTGCAAGCACAGCTTGCCATCAGTAAAAAGTCAAAGCACATTAGAATAGTTGTACCGAAATCAAGATATATTTTTGGTGTGTGCGACCCATATGGCATTCTAGAATATGGAGAATGTTATGTTCGAGTAACTGCAACCACCAGCGGTCATGTAAAGAACGTAAGCGGCCCAGTTGTTGTTTGTAAGTCACCTTGTTATCTCCTTGGTGACATCCGTGTATTAAGAGCAGTTTCAGACATGGATAAACCAGAGTTATCAAAATTAAGTCATTTAGTTGATTGTATTGTTTTTCCAATACGAGGCGCACGACCCCACCCAAATGAGACAGCAGGATCAGATTTAGATGGTGACATGTTTTTTGTTTGTTGGGACGAAAATTTGATTCCTGCCGTAACACGCCAACCGTACGATTACCCGGCAGCTCAGTCGAAACCAGAAGGTCGTGTTACAGTGGAAAAAATGATTTCATACTTCTCTAAGCAGAATGAAGCACAATTCATGACTAATACAGTCGCAAAATATATCCGAGCATGGTCAGATAGAGAAGGTATGATGTCAGAAAAATGTGCTCAACTCGGGATGATGTTTTCAAGAGTAATTGATGCGGCAAAAACTGGAGCGCCGATTGGGATCCCAAAAGCATTGCAACCACCAGATGACAACCCATCTAAACGGAAGTTTATATGGCAAACAATGGAGGAAAATGCTGAAAAGTTCAGGGAAGCCTTCAGACATGGTTTTGTGTCTGAATTCATGTCACACCTTGATTCCACCAAAAACCTAGATGAGAGTTCTAATTTAAGACATAATTTGCCAGATCTACCTGATGATTTAGTACAGGAAATATTAGACGAACATCAGTCTAAGATTAAAGAATTCGACAAATTTCGTTTTGCATGGATTCAAGCAGAAAATGTGAATATTTCTGACGAGGACATTTGTGATTTATTCGTCAGTAAGTATGGACAATACATTGACTTTTCACAGTTCTCTTTGGAGGAGAAGAGATATGCATCAAATCTAGGGGTACCAAAGGATATCATTCAAAATTCTATGAGAAGGTCCGAGTTGCTGAAAAAAGATGATTTAGAATGGTTTAACATGCACTCCTCAAGAACTCCATGGAAATTTTATTACGAAAAAGAAAATTCTGAAATGAACTGGAAACATTTAGTGAAAGCCATTACCAATTATGACAATTCATGTGTTATGTTAGGATTGCCCGATAAAATCGTTGTTGTATTACAATTTCTGTACAAGCCACAGCAAGGAATGGAACAATATATATCCCCTGGTTCCATTTCTGCAGTGTTTTTTTCAAAGAATTTTGGATATAAGTACAGGTACACAGTTGGTGAAGATTACTACATGGATTTGACTGACGATACATTACAGATATATCGCAACAGAGAACGTAACCAAACCTTTGTTTTCCTGAAGGCGTCAGATCTTAGAAAAATCAGAGGAAAATTGTGTTGTGAGGAGAACAGAAATGCCTTGAGTGTAGACTTATCTCGATTTTACAGGAATATTTACAGTAATGAACGGCCACATCCGTTACTCAACAAAACTCTTCTGACTACAGTTGAGGTTTTTGTTCGAAATGATGATCCAGAAAATCCAGCGTATTATGACGTCATAGATGCATCCGGGGACTTTCCTTATGAAGAACAAATCGATTTAGAAGATCTCGACGATAAGGAACAATATTTTGACATTGATGCATTGTTATATCAATCAAATACAAGTATTCAAGTTCACGTAATCACGGAAGAGATTCTGGTTCATCTTAAGCTGGCAGCAGATCGGTGCAACATGTATGACTTCGAACATCTTCTTTCCAAAATGAATTTCGATGATCAAGAAACTAATAATACTGTTGTTGATCTGTTTGTTTTATTGTTGGTTAATTTCATTCACAAGACAACTGGACGGCATGTACCTGTGAAAATTAATGAAAGTCTTCAGTTTTCTGCTTCTATTAATCATATTGCAAAAGACACAATGAAAAGACTTAACATTGCTGAATTGCTGTGCAGACTGAATCTTCAAAGTGTTGCAGGACAATTTTTATATATTGACGAAAATGAAGTGACAGTTCAGAGATTCCTTGAAATATTAAACCATTGGCAACTCTTTTGGTACATTGGTATGGATATTGCTTTGCAGTTTATAAACGGATTAACTAAAATGGCTTTAAAGCACAATTTGACATCGAAACTTTCAAACGATCAAAGTCTGAAACTGAAGTATATCGTACACTTCAGCAGACTCCACTGTCTAGAACTTATCCTCTCTATGAACAAATTACGAAAACAGTTAGAGCAGAATCCTTTGAATAGTTTGAACCCTGGCGGTGTGAGTAACCTTAAACTTGACAAACATCAGGACTACAACCTGGAAGGAGATACCGATCACGCTGAAGTTGTAACTTTATACAGATCAAATGCCCTCAGTTACATTCCAAAGATATATGAAGGTCAGTTTGTAACGTTAGTCAGACATCGTGATACAGATAAAAATCTTCACTGCACATCGTACGCATTGATTGGACAAGTGATAAAAGTTACACTGGCGCCATTTTTCGTTGAGGTAAAAGTTTTTGGTAGACTCCCAGATACAGTTCAACAATCTCAGGGCGCCGAACGACTTCAACAATCCCAGGGCGCCGAACGACTTCAACAATCTCATGGCGCCGAACGACTTCAATTGTGGAAGATTGATGTAATTTCAAACATAATTACATACCAGCGTATTATTAAAGCTTTACAAATTATGGGAAAAGACATTGACAAGAATGTAAAAGTACCTCTCTTCTCGCTTTTAACGTTTCCCGGATTTCATCCTGAAACGTCACCACTTCACAATGAACAATTATGTAAGGATGCAATATCACCTGCATTGAAATATGCAAATGCGTCATTTTATCAAAGGGATGTAGGAAGTTTCGAATTTTCCACAGAGTGCATCGACAAACAAAAACTTGCCATAGAAACAGCACTAAAGGAAACTGTGTGCTGTATCACGGGACCGCCAGGCACGGGCAAAACTTCAGTTGCCTGTGGTATCATTGAAAAGCTGGTGAGGCTGGAAAGGTACAAACATCTACTCATTATAGCAGAAACAAACATAGCTATAGATAATATAGCACGAAAATTACGAAATGAAGAATTCATCGTGAGGGTAGGAACACAAGACGGAATAGCACGAGATTTGTACGAGATTTCATTAGAAGGACAAGCAAATAGAATAGCTACATTGAAAGCAAGAAGTATGACAATCAAAGATAAATCTGGAAAGGAACAACGCAATACGGAATTATATTTGGAAGTTTTAGAAAAAGCAACCGTTGTACTTGCAACATGTGCTTCTGTTGGTGATAATCTTCTAGCGAAGCTCAGATTTGATTTTGTTCTTGTCGACGAAGCTTCCGTTACTAAGGAAACGACTCTTCTTTGTAGTCTTGTTCATGGATGTAAACATTTAGTTATGATTGGAGATTCAAAGCAGCTTTCGCCATTCGTGACACAAACACATGATTATATAACTGAAGAATCTACAGATCTACCAAACGTTTCATATTTGTCAAATACACTTTTCCACAGATTGAACAAATATAATGGAGTACCGAGTATTACCCTACATACACAGTATAGAATGCATCCGGAACTTCTAAAATTTCCGTCTCGTGAGTTCTATGACAACCAGTTATTGTCACACGAGTCAGTTAAATGTTTCCCTCATTTTGTTTTTAAATGGCCAGATTGGACGAAACCGATATGTTTCATAGATTCAACCGGTTACGAAAAATCAATTGGGTCTTCATACAATAACGATGACGAAGCAATAGTTGTTAACAACGTCATAGAAACATTACTTCGTGTCAGTGACAGAGATGTAGATGAGTCTTTAAAAAAGTATGGAGGACAAATAGAGACATTATCAGTAAAACAGATCACCATATTGACGTTTTACCAAGGACAGGTCAAATGTATCAAGGACAAATTGAAAGCTCGCGGTGTATGCGTCAATACAGTAGATGGTTACCAGGGATGTGAAAATGACGTCATAGTAGTGTCAACCGTTCGATCAAACAAACAAGGTATACTGGGGTTTTCCGACGACAGATGTAGACTTAATGTTCTTTTAACCAGGGCGAGGTTTGGTTTGATAGTTGTAGGGAACAGCGAGACACTGAAAAAGTCAGAGATTTGGACAAGATGGTTTCATGCGTACGATGCCCCTATACTTAGTTCACAAGAGTTCAGCACGATGTCGGTGACACAGCCGACATTTACAAGGAAGTACGAGAAGCCTTATACAAAGAGCGTATCTGGGAAGAAAACGCGACAAAAAATAAATTTTCGACATTAATCCAAAGTTTGTGAACTGCAATTTATATTTTATGTCTTTGAAAAAAACTGTACATGCATACATGCATGATTTTAGGTTTACGTACAATTTTGTTAATCCGTTGATCGAGAATAAAAGAAAAAATGAAAAGTCTTGATCGAGAATTAAGTTAATCTGTTGATCGAGAATAAAGGGGAGAGTTGAGAGTGTTTATTTGATCGTTCATCAAGAATAAAAGAGAGAGTTGACAGATCTAGTTTAATCCGTTAATCGAGAATAATGGGGAGATTTAAGAGGACTAATTCGATCAACTGATCGAAAATATAGGGGAGAGTTAAGAGGACTAATTCGATCAACTGATCGAAAATATAGGAGAGAGTTAAGAGGACTAATTCGATCAACTGATCGAAAATATAGGAGAGAGTTAAGAGGACTAATTCGATCAACTGATCGAAAATAAAGGGGAGAGTTAAGAGGACTAATTCGATCAACTGATCGAAAATATAGGGGAGAGTTAAGAGGACTAATTCGGTCAACTGATCGAAAATATAGGGGAGAGTTAAGAGTTCTAGTTTCATCCGTCGATCGAGAATAAAGGAGAAAGTTGATATTATTTGTTTTATCCGTTAATCGAAAATAATTAAAGGAGAGAGTTGAAAGTTCTTGTTTGATAAGTTGATCTAGAATACAGGGAAGAGTTGTGAGTTCTAGGGTTCTAGTTTGACGCGTTGATACATAATATATAGGATAAATGAGAGTTCTATTTTGACCCGTAGATCCAGAGAAGGAGAGCATTGTGAATTCTAGTCTGACACGTTAATCAAGAATAAAGGAGAGATGATAGTTCTAGTTTAATCCGTTGATCGAGAATAAAGGAAATAGTTGGGTATTCTTTTTTGACTAGTTGATCAAGAGTGAAAGGGAGAGTTGAGAGTTCTAGTTCGATCCGTTGATCCAGACAAAGGGGAGAGTTGAAAGCTATAGTTTGATTCGTTGATTGAGAATAAAAGGGAGAGGTGAGAGTTTTAGTTTGAGACGTTGATCGAAAAACTAGGAGAGAGTTTAGAGGACTAGTTTGGTCCGTTGATTGAGAATAAAGGAGAAAGTTGAGAGTTTTATTATGATCCGTTGATCGAAAATGAAGTAGAGAGTTGATAATTTTATTATGATCCGTTGATCGAAAATAAAGGAGATAGTTGAGAATTCGTGTTTGACGAGTTGATCAAGAATGAAGGAGAGAGTTGAGAGTTCTAGTTTAAGACGTTGATTGAGAATAAAGAGGAGAGTTGAGAGTTCAAGTTTGATCCGTTGATCTATGATAAAGGGGAGAGTTGAGGGTTCAAGTTTGAGATGTTGATTAAGAATAAGGGGTATAGTTGAGAGTTTTAGTTTGATCTGTTAATCGAGAATAAACGGGAGAGTTGAGGGTTCAAGTTTGAGACGTTGATTTGAAATAAAGGGAAGAGTTGAGAGTTCTAGTTTGAGACGTTGGTTGAGAGTGAAGGAGAGAGTTGAGAGTTCTAGTTTGATCCGTTGATCGAGAATAAAGGGGAGAGTTGAGAGTTCTAGTCTGATCCGTTGGTTGAGAATGAAGGAGAGAGTTAAGAGTTCTAGTTTGAGACGTTTGTTGAGAATGAAGGAGAGAGTTGAGAGTTCTAGTTTAAGACGTTGATTGGGAATAAATGGAAGAGTTGAGAGTTTTAGTTTGATCCGTTAATCGAGAATAAAGGGAAGAGTAGAGAGTTATAGTTTGAGACGTTAATTGCAGAAAATGGTAGATTTAACCTGGTTTTATAGCTAAGTAAATCTCTCACTTGTATGACAGTTGCATAAAGACTAAATAGTCGCAAAGACGCATTCAGAATAGATGGGAGTGTTGAGAGTTCTAGTTTGAGACTCATATTTTATATATCTTGTTGGTTTCATCATTTGAAACAGATTTTAGGATCATAACCTCCTTTTACCATGCTGTTGTCTGTCTATGATTTAAAAATATATTTTGAAGATAAAAGATGTCGAGGAGATAATTATCAATAATATTGCCGACGGAAAATTTCAAGTTATTGCTTTAACTATGTTCATATATTTGTTTTTCTCTCCGTGGATATTTTCAACTGAAGTATAATGAATATATCTCTTTAACATGTTCAAGATTCAAAATTTATTGCACATAAGAAAATGTTTTGTGATTTTTTTAAAGGCAGTGCTTTAATGCCTTTCTAGTTGCCGTGTTAATCTTTCTTTCCGCGATATCCAACTTATCTACGTGGGGGGTCATTAGGCTCCAAGTAGATCCGGAAAATGTTGATTCTCTCCTCTTCTTATTGTGATATAAAATGTTTTTTGTTTCATTTCATTTACATTGGGAAATAGAGAAACGATCATTGTGTTTTGTTAGTTTTAAAAACTTTTGATATATTTGTATTTTGCATTATAAGCAGTCAACCGATTGACAAACTAGAATTATTTGAATTCCGTGTGGAAAGAAGTCGGGTTAATTTCGAGTGTTATCTGCAATTTAGATGTTTATAAATCATTTCAGTCGTTGATATAATAATTAAAGGTCGACTGAACATGAATTATATTATACAATTCAAAGCGCATTTCTGTTTATGCACGTGAACCCGTCTAACGTTATTCTTATTTCGCAGTTATATAATGTAGCAAATTATCGTTCCTGAATAGGTGGCGCCGTGGTAGCCGATCCTGTTCTTAAACTTCCGGTTTCTGCACTGTGCAGCTATTACAGTTCAATTGCATTTTTAATTAACGATGCCAAGTACTTGTTATTGTGTACCTGGATGTCATTTAAGAGGAGGACATGCATTTCCAAATGATTTAAAAAGAAGTAAAAGTTGGATCAACGCCATGGCCCATACGCAGATTGGACGAGAACACGATTTCAGAACACGATTTAATCGTGGAGTCCATCTCAATCAGCTGTTGTTTGCAAGGCACATTTTACTGAAAAAGACTACGTGCAGGAAACTATTCATGGTAAAACTCTATTTTCTTTTTAAAATATATAGTTTTATATGTAATCGCCATGCGTATAAACCAAAGTCTGTTTACAACCGCAATTATCGTTTTATAAAAGGGGGTGGTTAATTCAAGACGTCATAATTTTTTGGATTACGATTCAATGTGATCTGTTTGAGATTTGTTGGTGCTTGCTACAATTATAATGATTTCTTACAAGAGGTATATCATACTGAGAATTATTTTAGCAGTAATTATGCTAATGTAGTAATGACAGGAATGCATAAGCTATGCCTCATAGACTTTCTTGAAAAATATCAATGACAATGTTAACAGGAACAAAACAATGACATGCTCTCATCTATATTATAGTTATTTAGGCACAAACAATGTACGTTTGTTGCATAAGTCTCTCATTGTTTGTCCTTTGGATTTACATAACATACATTTTGATGTGCATTGAATCAGGCTAACATAGTTTTATCCAGATTGTAATGAATAAATCTAGTTAATATTTTGCCAGGTAGTACAAAGTATGCATTGCTAATGGAAGTTCATTTAATTATAAAAAAACTAATGTTTTATAACCTTTTTCAGGGCGCAAACCCACCATACAGAGACTTAAGTCTACTGCCATTCCCAGCCTATTTTCCTGGACCAAGCAAGAGACTGAATCGTCTGCAAAAAGAAAAATCAGGGCAGTTTCCTGTGAAAACAAAAGAACTAAACTTGATGAATATTGTAGTAGAAATGTAGAGGAAAGTTTTGATTGTAAAGTTGGTTTTCCTGAAGAAGTCATTCATACTGCAGACAGGATTTATGACTGTCCACCACCAACTGCCGAGCTAATGTTGAGCTTCACAGATGGATTACGCAACACCATCAATGCCTATATTTTCAGCAGAGAATTTTGAAATGAAGACATGTGACACAGCCATGCATTTTTACACCCGTTTAGAGTTGTATACCAAATTTTTATTTGTTAAGACCACACTTGGTCCAGCAGCATATTGTTTGAGATACATATATTTTCAAATTGATAAGGTGTCATTTGAAAATCAGTTTTTTTATGACTTTGATGAAATTGAGGCATTATACAACCAACTTTGAACTGTCTAGATTCTAGATTGAAACTAGTGTTAAGAATATTGTGTAAACATGGATTGTTTTTATGTCTAAACAGTGGCGTGAGGCTATTAACACTTGGCCATTTAGTGGTTTAGTCAGGTATTTTTCGCCATCCAACTTCAAATTAAAGTTTCCTACAACTTGGATTATTATTGACAGCACAGAATATCCCGTGATAAAACCTTAAGCTCCTAGAGCTCAGGCAACCTTTTCATCATATAAAAACAGAAACACTGAAAATACTTGTATGTTCGACACCTGCTGGTTTAGTCAACTATGTCTCTAATGCATATGTTGGTTTTACCAGTGACTGTGAAATAGTTGAAAGATGTAGAATAGTTCAATTATGTGATCCAGGTGACAGTGTGATGGCAGACAATGGTTTAAATGTGCAAGATTTGTGTGCTCACTTTTTTCAAAAAAAGAAACAGAATTAGTTCCAAAACTCTTATACGGGATAGAAAAGTCTCCAATTAACACGTGCACATAGAGCTAATTATTGGACTTGGAAAAAACTACCAAAATTCTAATAAATCCTATGAATGAAACTGAAACAAAACTTTCATCTGAAATAACATTTAGTTGTTTTATGTTGTGTAATTTTAGAACTTGTATTGTGCCAAAGGATGCATAAATAAAAGTGACGCAATGAAGTTTGTTCTGATATATTTATATTTACAATTACATGCACATGTAAATTGTAATGCATATAAAAATAAGGAGATGTGGTATGATATTCAGTGAGTTTATCGAACCAAAGTGCGTAAGAAATGGGTTAAGCAGTTACAGGTGTTACTGTCACCGTACAATCTCCAACAATGAGAAAAACTTGTACCGTGTAAAAAATGTCAGAGATCTTACAACTAAGTTCTGTTGTCTCACCTTGACTTTGGTGAATTGTTTATATCTGTTGATGTAAATATAAAAAAGAAGATGTGGTATTGCTTATGAGACAACTCTCCACAAGAGACCACATGACACAGAAATTAACAGCTATAGGTCACAGTACGGCCTTCAACAATGAGCAAAGCACATACCGCACAGTGAGCT